AGGTCGAGATGGTCCCTCCTTAAAGGACAAGTTGGTCAAGTTTATTCAAAATAAACAGGGAACAGAAGCTGATACGCCTGTCTCGGATGCTTCAACAACCGAGCAAGAAATTCCGCCTTCGCAAGAAGCCAATGGCATCTGCAGTAATCGACTAGCTTCGGCCGCCGACGCCGGACTTGAGAACAGTATTCAAGAGCGATCGAACTCGGTTATCAGTGCTGATATTGAGGGCTTAAAACTGGATTTACTAATTCTTCAGAAAAAGGTTGAAGCAAATACAAGCCTTCTGTCGACGAAATGCAAATTACAAGAAACCGCTTTTAGCGCCGAGCTCCTCGATTACAAAGAGAGGTATGAGAAGGTGTTATCGACATTATCTAAAAAAGATAATGAAATTGAGGTGTTGGAGGAAAAGTGTTTTTCCTATGAGAGCCAAGTTTTGTCCTTGCAACAAGAAAATGATTCTCTTAAGCTGGCTATGAAGATCATTATGCAAGAAAGAAGCGAGGGCGAATGCCGCCAACAAAAGATATGTGATTGTTGGTCCCAAGTGGGCACACTTGGGAAAAGTGTGAATGATAAACATATCCAGCGGCCGTTGGCTGCCTGCAATATAGAAACTCAGAACAGATTTGAGCCCCTTAGAAGTGAGGTACAATTCCAAGTGAGAAATGAGGACAACTATACTGCAAATAACGAAGAAAGTCGCCAACAACAGCAACAGCAACATTCACATGTTGATTCATCTGAAGCGAGCCGGGCATTTGATTCAATTCCAACTAGTCATAACCGCTATCAGGCCTTACTTGTCTCTTCTCCTTCGAGTCAAGTATCCTCTGAGATGCCACTGCATCAGTCTGGAGCGCACGCAAATACCTCTCGAGTTAGTGCAAATAACTCCAAAAGCGGTGAAGTCGGAAAGACAAGACCCATAGTGCTTATTGGTGACTCAATGATAAAACACATTGATCCAAAAAAGCTTTCGCAAAGACATGTACATAAATTCTCATATCCCGGGAAAACCACTGCTGAAATAGCTGAAGCTGTTGACAACATCGCTGTTGCATCCGCGGATCCTTCTCACGTCATCATCCATACTGGCACTAACAATCTTCCATCGGAGTCTGCCGATTCATGTGTCGCCGATATCAAGAGCCTTGTATTGAAGGTGAAGAGCAAGTTTCCTAACTCAAGCATTGGTCTCTCGGGTATAGTCTACAGAGAAGATATCAACGTCGATGCTAAACGCATTGAAGTTAATGAGAGGGTCAAGCTCACAGCAGTAGATGATAACTTTACTTATATTGATAATTCGGTTAGCCACTTGGTACAGACCTCCTTGCTCCTCAATTGATTTATTTTTACATTACGAATCATTTCTTGAGAAATTAGATTCCCTCGGCCTAGAATATTATCTGCTAGGTGATTTAAACTGTAACCTGGCCTCTGCACAATATGATTTAAATACTCGACGCTTATGTGAAATTTCTGATTTATTTGGGCTTCAACAGCTTATAACTGAACCTACTCGCATAACGGAATCCTCTTCAACATTAATTGATTTAATTTATACAAACTATACTGACAGGGTAGTCTGTTCCGGAGTCTCTCATATTGGTATCAGCGATCATAGCCTTATTTACGTTTATAGGAAATTATCTCTCACTTTTCCTTCAAAAGGGCACTCAACCATTTCTTATAGAAATTTCCAAAATTTTAATAGAGAGAGTTTTCGTAACGATATCGCTCAGCAAGACTGGTCCTGTAATGTTTCTGAAGATCCAAATGTTTTGTGGTCTGACTGGAAAACGAAGTTTTTGGATATTGTTAATATTCATGCGCCACTCCGAACTAGACGTACTAGAACAAATAAAGCACCCTGGATCAATTCAGAATTAAAGAAAGGCATGCGTGATCGTGATGCTGCCAAAAGAAAAGCAATTACATCGAATGATCCACACGATTGGAAAAGGTACAAAAAGTTGCGAAATATAATAAACAATGACATCAAAATTTCTAAAGCATCTTATTATTCTAATGCATTTATTCAATCTAAGGGTAATCCTCGAAAAACGTGGCAAACCTTTAATGAGCTTACATCCCGTCGTGTGAATAATACAACGGTGAAAGAACTGAAATTGAATGATACCATTATCTCTAATTCTAGTGAGCTTTCTGATGCTTTTAATGACCATTTTTCAACAATTGGGCCCAGACTTGCTAATGAAATACCTCTAACTGCTGAAAATAATTCAAGTTATATCAATAATATAAAGGTAAATAACAACAATTTCAGCTTCTCCTCGACTAACTGCAGCATTGTTTTCTCACATCTAAACAAATTATGTAGATCTAAAGCAACTGGTCTTGATAATATTTCTGCTAAAATTGTACGTGAATGTGCTGATCTTATTTCAGTTTCACTATGTGATCTCTTTAATAAATCTTTAGTCTCTGGTATATTTCCTGATGATTGGAAATGTGCTAGAGTTACTCCGTTGTTCAAGGAAGGTGAGCCATCTGATCTGAATAATTATCGACCTATTTCAGTCATTTCCGTTATAGCTAAAGTGTTTGAAAGGATTGTTTATGATCAGTTGTATAACTTTTTGACCAATGAAGATATCATTTCTAATCATCAATCGGGTTTTCGCTCGTTACACTCAACTGCAACTGCCCTTCTGGAAGCTACGGATAATTGGGCCTTTAATATTGATCGTGGCAATGTTAATGCTGTGGTTTTCCTCGATTTAAAAAAGGCTTTCGACACCGTTGACCACGATATCCTTCTAGCTAAAATGAACCTTTACGGAATACAAGGTACAGCTCTTGATTGGTTTAGGTCGTATTTAACTAATCGTACACAACGATGTCTTGTTAACGGTTCTCTTTCTAGAATCTGCTCTCTTAAATGTGGGGTACCGCAAGGAACAATCCTTGGCCCCCTTTTATTTCTTATTTATATTAATGACTTGCCTAACTGCCTTACTTCGTGCCAGCCTAGAATGTATGCCGATGACACCCACATTACTTATGCTGGCGTTGATGTGAATTCAATACAGTTAACTCTGAGTCACGATTTAGATAACCTAAACAAATGGCTTATTTCCAATAAACTTACTTTGAACACTTCTAAAACTGAATTCATGCTAATTGGCTCCAGACAAAAATTGAGTACTTTGTCGAACCCACTTGAGCTCTCGATTAATAATGTTCCGATAGAACACGTTTCCTCTGTCAAATCGCTTGGAATATTTATTGATGAAAATCTACGGTGGCAAACACACATTGATAAATTATCTAAAAAGGTCGCTTCCGGAATTGGAGCAATAAAAAGAATTAGACCTTTTGTCCCTCCACCTACCCTTCACTATATATACAACTCACTAATTCAATCTCATTTCGATTATTGCAATCTTGTCTGGGGTAATTGTGGTAAAACATTATTTGACAGGCTACAGAAGCTTCAGAACCGTGCCGCTCGCGTTTTAACCTTCTCTAGCTATGATGCTGATGCTAACCGTTTGATTAGACAACTCGATTGGAAAGACTTGAGCACTCAATTTCAAATACAGAAATCCATAATGGTATACAAGTCTTTAAATGGCCTTGTTCCTGAATATTTATCATCTAAGTTTGTTAAACGAAATGAAACGCGTTACTCCCTGAGGGACTCTGTTAACAAACTATTTGTCCCATTTCCGCGAACTAATTTCATGAAAAACAGCTTTACTTATAGCGGAGCAGTTCTCTGGAACAGCCTACCCTGTCATGTGAGAGAAGCCGAATCTCTTAGTCAATTTAAAAGATTAGTTAATGTTCATTTTTAATGTTATACACGGCATTCATGAAAAACAGGTTTTAGTTAGATTAGTTGTAGTCAGGTTTTGAATTTTGTTTAGGATAGTTAGGTTATTTTTTAATTTTTTTTTTTTAAATTCCTGATGGATTTTACCGTGTTTAAATAAAGATTGACTTGACTTGACTTGACTTGACTCGCATACTCACTCAGATAACGTTTAGCTGTTGTTTTGCTCTTTTACGGAGGACTTCTTTATTGCCTAAGCACCAATTGCTGGTGATAAGTTTATGCGTTACTAAAAGCACACCACATTCCTGGCTTAAACCAATAAATAAACTCCATTCTTGCTTGAACCTCAAACATACATGCAAACTGAAATCCCCACCGTTGTACAGCAGAGTCCGGGGTTTTACACTGGTTTTAGTTACGTTAAGATATTTTGAAAAGTTTCGGCTGTCATTAATAGATGGCCTGTTATTGCCGTCTACAAAATGATGTTAATACTATGGGATAAATATGCAAATGAGGATGCTGAGGGCCAGTGACGTCATCCAACCTGGAGGACTTTTTAGTGTAAATTTTTTCACTTCGTTTTTTTCCCGAAAATTTAAAGTTTTACTTGGAAAATACACTTTTTCACGCCTAGCATGTAATACATGCTTTAATGCATCATCCTGTTGCTTTACAACTACTTCTGGTTAAGAATATGGCCCTGAAGGCTTAGAAAATTACATTCTAATATATTTTAAATTTTACACCACACCTAACTTGTCATTCAATATCGGCCTACATCTATCGGCTGATTTTTTACCAAGTTCACATCACATATGTCTCTCAGATACCAACAGCTACCGGAATGGACAAGTGCCCCGAAAAAATCCTCCTCATAAAATTTTGAAATACCAGAGAGGGTGGGGTGGCATCCACCTTCCCGACCTCCCTTGTATATCTCAGGGACAAACTGAACCGGAACGGCGTCTTATTTACATATAATTACTAGCTACCCACCAGCAAAAAGAACCGTTTATTTTCGAAGTTTAAATGTTTTGTTAATGCATCGGTCAGTTTGTAAAGGTGGTGAACCGTGTGTTTCTAAATTCTTAAAAACTAATAGAAATGCACGTGAACAAAAAATTCAGCAAATATTATTCATATCTCAATCGATCTTTGTCTCCTTTGTCCCTTGATCAGCCGGTGGTGTCTGCTGTTTGTTGTCAGCGGTTTGTTTTCCTTCTCGCTCTGTTTCTTCTTTGATGACGTCATGTTTTGGCTGAGTAAGCCACCAGTTCCAGGCCCATGGTGACCAGTTATTATACGCGGACGGCAGAGTACACCTGAAAATGTCATACATGTGTCATTTTTTCAAATAATTTCGATGAATTGAAATTCAACTTTGCCCTCCAGAACTCGAGGTCTACCGTTCAATACAAATGCGCCTTATTGCTACAACACATTTACAACTCACATATGAAAAATAATTAATAAATAATTATTGAATACAGCTTTCTTTTAACATGAAGAGTTATGCCGATCCCTGAGGGTATAAGACGAGCCTTCCAACTCAAAACATCATTACAATACCTCCACGTAGACCTTAGCTTCTTCACAACATTGTCCACGGGTCATCAGCGTTAAAGAAAATGAACGGATTTTTTCATTAAGATATTTTTTGAAAAGCAGTTGATATCCAGTGCATAGTATTTTAGCGTATTCCTGCTCCCCTTATTTGCTGGTCTTTTGGCTCTTTCGTCTTCGCTTTCATTCTTTTTTGCTTTTCCACTCCCTGCAAAAACAACTAACCTGCTGCGCTGCTGTCTTACCTAACGTCATTCGTGGACAATTTTCTATATTCCATCCTTGACGTTAGCGACAGACGTCAGTGCTGAAATAACTACAAACATCCCTCAAATTTGGTCATCTCAAGCAGGTTAGAGAAATGAAAAAGTTTGCCGGTAGAAATATTTTGAATAAATAAGTAACTGTTACTCAGAATAACATGGAGACGTGTGTGGCCCAGCGGTTAACACCTCGCAATCCGCATCTGGAGGCCCGGGATTCAGGCCTCGCCCGTCGCGTTATTCCCTTATAGACAAGGACTTTGTCTCTCTTCCGGCGACATACTGCTGGGGGGTAACCCTGCGATGTACTAGCATCTTGTCCGGGGGGGAGTAGCAATACTCCTAGGCATATTTCATGTTAAGGAATCGTGGCTAAGCTCCAGCCGTTTGGGCCTTTTTTACCTTACCTTTAATCAGAATAACAAAAAGTTAACCCAGCTAAGTAAATGTGGAAGACGCCATCCAGTAAGTTCTAATTCCCGGCTGGCAAACTCCCTAGTGTAAGACCTTTTTTAGATTCCGGGATTCAAGTTTCTAGAAAAAGACAATTCTAGGATTTGCTGGTCGAAAGAGATGGAGAAGACACTGTTAAACTATACCAGCACCAGGACACAATACCTATCTATTTTAACCAACAACGGCGATTTAAACGTCAAGTTTAACCAAAACTATACATTTTCCTTGCATCCTTATTGTTCTTTGTGTTTTGTTTTTAATCTAAGGGATACCCGAGGCTGTTATATTTTCAGTTTTTATTTTCAGTTTAGTATTTAGAAAAGATTAAAATAATTCTTACCTAAAGGTACGGTAACACGAGCTACGAAAACGTGCAACTTGTTTTGCAACATTGCTGCAAAGCTAGTTGAATAGCGATGTTGCGCGTTTCACCACCCACGTTCAAACCTGTCTTCTAACAAATAAAGTTTGCTGCAAGTTGCGTGAATACTGACTTCTGATCATGATTGGATAAAAGTACGGGGGAGTTCACGCCACGGCACGGGAGTTACGTCACTTGCTGAAAACAATTTTGGCCTGGGCCGGTATAACGCGCAACATGTACGGGTTTTGTTGCTAAAAGTAGAACTACTCTCTACTTTCTGCAACAACTTTTCGCAACCTGCAGCAACCTGATTTGCTGCAAGACATGTTTGAATGTGGGTAGCAAAACGCGCAACATCGATTTTTAACTCGTTTTGATGCAGTGCTGCAAAACAAGTTGCCATTTTTGTTGCCCGTTTTACTGACCTTAGCACAGACCTCAATATTTTCCAAAAACAATACAGAAATAAAATACAAACTGAATTGTTCTAGAGCTATGATGGGTTTTTTTTGTTTTCAACGCATAAAAGCTCGGATTATGCTAGCAGTGCTAAACTGAAATAAAAGCTTAAAATAATGCTCGTTTTGCTGAATTATGCTTTAAATTATGCTAGCACAATCTACCAAAGCCTTTCTTAGGGTCCTCGTCATGAGTACCTTTTCCACGTTCGTGGGGCAGTAACCCGATGAAGCCCCTAGGATCCCCTAAAAACGTCTGCGTGGTAGGTTATTCTTACCTGTGAGGTGTTGTAGATTTTGTTGGAGTTAAAATGACCATTGTATCCATGAAATAAATGGGGTTTTTATTTATTGAATCTGAAGACGATTAGAAAGAAGGACTGATAAATATTTTTTTGTAACAATATCTAAAATGAATGACTACGCTGTATGGACAGCTTTGACAAAAGAAAAAAGCAAGGCAGTGGCGGATCAAGACCTTCAGATAAAAGGGGGGGAGGGGGGGCCGGTCATCCAGACACTGAGATAAGAGGGGGGGGGGCTCGGTCTCAAAAAAAAATTTTTCGGCCCTCTAAAAATAAGGGGGGAGCCCGGGCCCCCCGGGCCCCTCCCCTGGATCCGCTATTGCGAGGTACCAACAAGAGAGAATTAGCTCATTCTCTCTTGGTTCCAATTTAAAATGAAGTGGCCCAGCAAACTAAAATTAAACTGAATATTCACTTTTGTAAGATTATCCTAGCTTATTTTGAGGGGTTTTTTTTTCTGTGCGTGGTTTTGTGACAGTGATGTGCAATGTCTGAGTGCTTCACAGAAAGTGCTATACTATCAAATATAGTCAATTTTAATACTTAACATGTATGTACAAGAAAATATGGAACAAAATGTTTAGATACGATTGGCCTGATACACAAAAGCCTTAATGCAAAAAAAGTATATACCAAACTAAAAATTAAAAAGATCTGTTTCAGCCCTGCGGGCCAAAGTCTGATTCAGCCTCTCCTGGAGCGATTTGAGAACAATTTAGGCCAAAAAAGCTTAATCAAAAGGCTATTCCAGCCCACGCTGGGGCCCATTTCAGCCCTCGGGACCAAATCGGCCCTAGCTATTAGGACTGTATTGACCCTGTTTTAGACTCAAAAATAGGACTGTATTTTACTCACCGAAACGCCCCCATTTTTAGGGTTAAAACAGATATTTCTCTGATTTACAATGCAGCTTCGACTCGACTGACTCAGTGAATTATTTAAAAAGGAATTGCTCGCAGTCTGATATTATAACAAAAGAACTGATTTCAGAAGTGAAACCTACGTTTAGTTCGTGGTTTTTCTTAACTTCTACATAAATGTTTTGATTTGGTATGCCCGCTTTTTTAAGCCATTATATCATTTTCTAGCAACAGACTGAAATCAAAAGTTTGACCGTTCTTGAAAATCGATACTTAAAAAGAATCGCTTGGAACGATTATAGAGGCAAAATGTGCGTTTGTATATATTTAAAACCAGTAGTTGAAGTAGTTGATGTATACAATTTCATGCTAATATACATTTTCCAATCAAGGCAAACACTTCACTTTTCACGTAGCGTAGAGAATATCTTACCTGCCACTTCAACTAACAAAAATTGCTTTCCCAAGTCGACAAACGGCTCTCAGTGTTCAGAGTTGTTTGCTCTCTTCTAAACACAGCACTTTTCAAAGCGTTGTTTATCCGCCCCCTTTTATATCAGGGTGAATCCACCTGCGTAAAAATCCCGCTTGTTAATAAACAATGTAAAGAACACTAACAAATCAAGAAAGATTTGTAATCTATCGTCCAATCACAATCAAATATTTTTCAGCAGGAAAGTATTTTCATCCTTACCAAAGCGAAGCTTTTAAGACTATTTTCACCCTATACCGGGTAGCTTTTTTGCCGGCACGAAAACTATAGAGGATAGAGCTTCTGTTTCGCACATAAAAAAGGAGTTTTCGGCGCGATTTCTGCGTAACGGATCGAAGCTGCGCCGCACCGATATTTAAAGTGAAGAGTCACATACTCTCGGGTAAACCGGTTAGCTTTGCGTTTCGGCACGAAAAGGTATCCGGTATCCGAACAGATTGGGGTTAAGTTAGGCGCGCGGGAACTCATCGGAAGAGTCCCCGCGTGCCTCTATTTACAACCTAACCCCAATCTTCTCTCGCCGAAAAACACTTAATTAGCGACTGTGTGCGAGTCTGATCCGGAGCCTAAGTTTTCCTTGATTAGAGGAGTTTTATGATTCCATGCCATTTCTAATATCAATCGTTAGCTAGTATGTAAGAAGCGAAAAAGAGACAAATGGTTTACTGATGTAATGAGTGAACAAAAATAAAATGATTTCGTAAAAGCTTATAATTTGTTTCATTTCACAATTTGCAGGTAAAAACGCAAACAAAATCTGTACCGTGTGAAACTAAATTATATTATTCTTAATTTTTATAATAAAAAGGAACTATAATATTAAATTTTTATTTAATATTTGTTTATTTGTTTTTTAGTCACTCGCATAACATAACAACAAAGCGTTACAAAAAGTGTTGATTAAAATATAAGTTAATGTGACAAGGAAGCCTAAAGAAGCTGGGAGCGTATATTAATCAGCTTCCTTAAGCTAGCTTACTAATTACTTACTTGAGTGCAAAGTGTGCAGAAAACTTAAAACTTAAGCGACAGAACGACTATCGATGAGATAATTTTTCAGATCTTTTGTAAAAAAAAGGCAAACATGGAAGAAGAGCTGGTTATCTAATATTATAGGCAATAACAGGCAACTTCATTTTACTGGGAGGATTAGCCTGAAATTCATCCGATTACTTCGAGTCGTTTTCTCCTCTCAACAACGTCTGAATCGACCGGCCGTTAATGCCGTCCAGTGACATCACTCACTACCCGAAAACCGGGTAGTGATTTTGATTGGTTGATTGCCTAAATATCCGCATAATTATGTATAATTATGAAAACTTTTAGCGGGATTGTCGCTTGCTATTCAGCTGATCGCATCCCTGGCATTCTTTCGTTTAGTTCAAACATTTCGATAAGCTTAGTCTTTATCTTAAACAGCAAAATTGCCCTTGTCTTCGAAACTGAAAAGCTAAATTGAACTACGAATGAAGAATCATCGCGCAGAGTCGGTAGGTTTTTCATTTAGAGCCGCTTTGTGATTTCGGCGGCCGGTGATTTTGTTTACGCGAAGTTTTCTGAGATCAATGTTATAGTTCGACCTTCTTGCTATTTTTACCCGTCAAGTGTAATGATTCTCTTAGCCTTTCTGTCTTTGTCTCCTTGTTTTTTTTCTTCGTTAAGGACCAAATAGCTTCTTTTCAATTAAAGCAAATCATTGTGTTTTTGAACCATGTGTTCCGTGTGTGTGTTTATTTCATTGCGTGATTGCGACCGAGTTTGTTATAGAATTTAGTACAACCGGATCAGAGTTTTACTGCATGCAGTTGATAGTTTGAACGTTAAACATGAATTACGACCGAAAAAAATAATGCAGTTCTGTATCATGCAGACATTTCCAAACGGTATTTCTCCGTTTGCCACTCGAAAATCGTGTTGTACTTTTTGCATGAATTAAAGCAAAGGTCAAGGAGTAGTGTCGTCACTGGACGGCATTAACGGCCGGTCGATTCAGACGTTACTGAGGGAGTAATAACGACTCGAAGTAATCGGATGAAATTCAGGCTACTGGGAGGATCGGATATACACGTACACTTTCAACTAGGCAATAGAGGTGAAAAATGGCTTCCTACATCAGCTTAAATCAGTCAATGTGCCGAGTTCAGCGACGTACAAGGGCGAAAATACCCGCGTGCGTTTGCTGTTGTAATGCCACGACTAGCCTTTGACTACTTTATTGCTTTATGGCTCTACACTGATTTCTCTACAACTTCATAAATAAACTATAGTCAGCTGTATAGTGGTATAGTACTTCATTTTACGGTACAAGCTTACTTGGTCTTAGAGCTGAAAACATCAAGTGAGCGGTCTTTCGACAATAGTGCACGTATATTTTTTTTAAAGAAAATTTCAAACTTTACTCCAAATAATATTTAACTTGTTTTATTTAGCATACAGTCTGACCATGAAAGCTCGGTAGTATGCTTAGAAACATCAAGTCACTAGTGGTATTCCTACAGTAATAGACCACTCACAAGAGTGGCACTGGCATAAAATTATGGCCTGGACGCTCGTTTTTACATTACATTATTTGGTCACATCGTGGCTCAAAGGCATTGTAATAGTACCGTATCGACTCTCTTCTCCGTAGAAGCTCCGGCCGAGTATCCAATAAAAAAACAAAAATCAAAAAAGAAATAGCCAGCGCGAGGGGGACGATGGAAAGAGGGAAAGACTCAGTTCGTTTTTAAAAGAACACTCAAAATCCCTTAAATCTTCGCCTGGTTCCGCCATTAACAGAGAACCGCAAATCGTGCCAGAGAGTTATATGGCAGAAGCCTCTGTAGTCTCTTTCCTCTTCCCGTCGTAGCCCGCGCGCCGTGACGTCATGTGAATACGCTAGCCTCGTTCCAAGTTCGTTAAGGGGAATACGAACATGACTTATTGGCTTTCTGATTGGTTGAGAAAAATGGCAGGAAGGTCACTACAAAGCTAGATTGATTGATTCGACATACTGCCTGAAAGCCGCTCTATTGAAAAGTGGACGTTTTAACTAGTTATCTGACTGGACAAACGCATTTATTTCTACAAAAAGCTCTTTCTCAAAATGGCCAATTTCAAGGTTAGGGAAATTCCTTGATTTCAAATTGTTTAAGACCACTTCACGCCTCATTCAGCCGTCAGGTAGGCCAGAATCATTCTGTCCCCACTAAAGCTCAAGCGGCTATGTTGAGCGGTCAAGTTATCCAACACTAACACATCTCTTTTTCGCCAAGGAAATCCAACTGCATTGCGCCAACCGGTTGCCCGGATGTGTTGAATTACTTCCGGTTCTATCTCGCTTCCGTCACCATAAAGGGTGTGCGTTGGGTACATGTGGTCTGGAAGCGTGACACCGTCTAACATGGGTGACTCCTTGTAGTATGTATTATGGTGTACGTTAGGTTGATTGAACCAAATTTTTTGGCCCGTGGTTGGATGAGTCATCAGTGGCGGAAGTGAATACCAGTAAGACAAATTTCCGGTGTCCTTCTCCCATTCATAACTGAAATTTTGTCGCTCCAGGAATTCTTCCACTTTCTGCAAAACAGGTAAGAAGCGTTTTTTCACAAAGTTGCCCAGGAAAGCAAGGACTTTTCGTTCGCTCTTAAATTACCTTTTAACCTTAAGTTAATCAAGCTCGTTCCCAACAATTCTTTCCTTAGATTCTGGGGGTACTAACTTGACTGACATCATTGTTTGCCACCTTAAAAACGCCAAAACGTGACGTTGTTTAGAAAATCCTTTCGCAAACGATCGTTGCTTCGTCCCCAGACCTCTCCTGTCTCTGCACATGCGCAGACGTCGCTCAGCTCTGTCCTCGAACAGTACCGCAATTGACCGCTTAGAACTGGGTCGGTGTTGAATTCAATTATGGGACGATTTTTGTCCCAGTGTCTTGCGCAACTTGGTAATAACCAATGAAAGAAGAGGAAAACAGTCCCATAGTGCAACTGGACTCGACACAGATATGATTCACCCGCAACGTCCAAATAAACATTTGGAATCGGTTCCATTTTTCAGGCTTTTTTAACAGTGATTTAAGGCTACATTCACACTTTAGCGGATAGCTTTTTGTTCCGACACGCCAGTATAATATGAACAGCAACGGCACCGAACTGGAAAAAGTCGTTCACGCACACCGAACTTTGTGCCGGATCTGGGATTGCCGAGAGAACTTGGTGACCTAAATCCCAGTCCTCACTCCTGAACATTCATTTACGTCTCAGTTGTTCTTCTGCCCCGCCTAGATTAGCTTTTGCTACCTGCGGGACAGTATAATTAATTAAGTTAATTCTTACTGAACAATAAAATTATGTTGTTGTTGTTGTGGATTCCATTCCTCGCTCCTACATATTCTCTTGCTCTACGGTCCGAATACCTGTTCAACCTCCACCAAAGTGTGGCACCCCGCTGTCAAGATCTGAACGGCGCAGAAACCGCCCCGAAATCATCGTTCTTATGTGTGAGCAAAAGTCCGATAGGGTATGGTTTTCGCGCCGGCGCAAGAGCTTTCCGGTACAGTGAGAATATAGCTCTAGTCTCACCTTTCGGTTGTCAGTCATAAATGACTGCTGCCAGGATGCATATGGCTTATGCCTCTCGTCTATCAGGTAGCGAGTGTAACGGATCTGTTTTTCTTCCAGCTTCTTCACAACTGCTGGGTCCAGTTGGGCGGATATCTCGCTATTTCTGGCCAAGGGTGTCACCCCTCCCAATTCTTCGTTTGGCTCGATCAAGCAGAAGAAAATAACCTACAATATCAGGTTTGATGAAATGGAAACTGATCATCAGTGAAAATAGCACGTGACCGTTGAATAGAGGTCAAATTTTACAGTAAATATGGGAAGCAAATTTCGGGAAATTGACAGGTGACTGCTTAATAGAGGTTTGACTGTGGTCTAAATCACTGAGTCAACGTCATGTAAGCAAAATAAATGCTAACCGCAGGCTGGATTTAAGATAACAATAAACATTTCCTTTGCTTTGATTATAAAATCAGGTACGATAACCCTAATCATGAAAAGAAAAATGGACCTGCAATATACTAATGTGGTGGGAGTTGATAATATTTGGGAATTTAAGATGTTACAACAGAGGCGGCAACGAAAACGTCAAAAAAGGAATAGGTTGGTCAGGCAAAACAACATCTTTGCACGTCCAACACACGTTTTCATATATTTCTTTGCCCTCACCACTACAATAAAAATGCCTAAGTTCACGTTTTACGGAGGACGTTAAACAAGCGACGACGATATTTTCTTTCTCTTTCTGGTCTTTGGAATTCTGTTTCAGAGGAGTTCGCCAGCAGAATAAATGAGTTTGAATTTAAATCGCAGTAGAGATTGGGAGAACTCAAATACACTTTTTAAGCGACGTTTTTCGCCGCCGTCGCTTTTGTGGTAACTTAAACTCTCTAATGAATCCAGAGCTAACTTAATTCTAAACTAACTTTCCTTTCATGTTAGTAATTTTAAGGGGGTAAACAAAGATCACTGGAATATTACTGATATACCTTTTTCGGGTGCACAGGTGAACATGCCATCTCGTTGTGCAGCTCGATGTTAAAATCCGGGGGATCACTTGTGGATAAGTACACTTCCGTCTCCCCTTCAACTAGGTACCTATTTCCGGTTCCTCCTTCATAATTTGTTGGCTTGTACCCAAGACTGGACGCGAATTTAGCAAAATCTTTTGCATCAAACAAGGGTAGATTGCGGAACAGAACTACATTGTATTCTGGGATTGCTTTGTCCAGCTGTTCGCGGCACATTTTTCCCCATTTCTCCACGCTTATATGACTTACAGTGTCTGCGCGTAGTGCATATGGCAGCCCTTGTCGAGGAGAGGCCAGGAACTCTGGAAATCCTTTGCCTTGGGAACCAGGCAAGTATTTCCTTCCCGCAATGCGGTGCTTGAATTGAAGCGTTAAATCTCCAGGTGGTATTGGAGTAAAGAACGCAGGATTATCGGCAACTTGAGGACTTGAGACAATGGATCGTGATTGCGCGATACAACAGAAGAGTGTTCGCGATACTTGATAGGACTTATTTCTGAGTAGACAAACTTTAGACGCCAGCATCCTGAAAGAATTTAAAAAATCCTATAAATCGTCGGGTTTTGCTGCCGTCCATTTGGTGTCCCTCTCCCGAAAGGGTTTGTTTCTTCCTATAATTTTTGTTAGTCTCCTTTGCCTTCTAAGCCTAGCGTTAGTAACACACATACAAGATTGCTTTTTATTTTCAGTTAATTGTTTATTCCACCACCACTTTCCACATTTTCTACCGTACTCCTCTTTTTCTACACTCCGCATTGTGCGTTTTTCATTTTCCTTCCACCTTAACTCGAGCAATAAGAACTGTAATATGCATGGGAAAGAAAATCTTCATGTACATGTCGCCAATAGTTACCTTTGGAGTTCAGTGCCGGATAGAATTACATATATGTTAGTTACAATTCTGAAGAGAGAATTTTATTGTTATTTAGTTCATATATTTACTTTCGCTGATAAAAATAAGAAAAGTCCATGTAGATATATATCATTTATGCTTTAGTCTTAACTCAGTCTAAGCCGTTAAATGTATTAAGACCCTGTTGACATTCACTAAGCGTAAACTTATACGTCTAGTCATGTGTAAGAAACTGAAATACTCGCGAAGAAAATAAAAGAGTGGTATAAGATTCTCCCGCAGCACTTTATTCTCTTATACAATACCAATTTCAGCACCGAAGCACACTTACCAACTCTGCGGTATGGCCATTCTCGTCCCCAGAGCCACTCTGCTTATTTTGTAACCAACCAGTGGTTTCCGACCACGTGACCAAGAAACGACGGGCTCTGGGGACGAGAATGCGGTATGGCCAGTACCTTACGCATGCGTACAACCGTATCATCCGGGCTGTGGCAACCATGGATAACAGACCTCTCGCCTTGGGCTACACCATGCTGATGAGTCCTAGCAAGGACGAAACAGCTGCTGCCACTTCAGGGTTGATATGGTTGTGCGCATGCGTAAAGTAATGGCCATATCGCGGAAACCGCGGAGTAAACCGCTGAGTTGGCGTGCCGTGTTCTTCAGTGTTGAAATTGGTATTCTTTTTTCTCAGAGACTGCTTTTAACCTCTATCTTTTTCAGCTACAACTACAACTAGCAAGCCTATATTACCAGCGAATTAATAACCAAACTGTAGACATGTTTAGGTTAGCGGACCGCGAGAACTTTCCATTACATATCCTTTTGCTTAACTTTTGGAGAAAATCACATTGGCTATACTGTCGTCATTGACAATTAAAAATGCTAGCGGCAGACTGCTCGATAGGACTAACTGACCCACTCAGAACCGATACTTTAGTGTACTGAGGTAAAACTCAAGGCCAGCTATACTCTCCGAATATACCAAATTGAAAGAACTACATTTAGTTAGTTTAGTCCATTTAAGTTTAACAAATCCTTCAAATAGACAATACAACTCAAAAGCCCAAGAACTATCAGTGTTGGCTAAACATTGAATAACCTTGCACAATGGACTGTTTATAATTAACACGTGCTACAAAAGTAATCATTCGGATACCCTACGCATAAAAAAACTTTAAAAACGCCAACTGTCGAAACCAAACTAAAAGCAACTACTTCACAACAAATGCAATAAGCCGTCAAGCTGTAATCAACCTTTGCTGTGAGAAAGCGTGACCGACCTGTGTAAATTTTCGAAGTAATAAATGTTTCAGAGCAAGACGACATTTCAGACAATTGTTTGCGCTTCCTACAAATGTCAATTTCTAATTAATACTTAATCACGAAATAATCAAGTTAACAATCTCGTATTTCTTTTAAGTCTTGAATTAAAAACCTCTACATTGGAGCCAAGTTATGTGTACAATCATCATCTCAAGGCAAGAGAGGATACCTCTCTTGTCTCAAGGGTATTCAACAGGCGTAATAGATCCCAAACCTTCCCGCAGCCATCGAGTGTTTCTGCCTTTTTAACAGACATTTATAGAAGTTTTTCCCCTCCGTTCAGTTAATTCCACAGCTGTGAAGGCAAAACCTGTTTTCACACGATGTTAATTTTACTGAAGTTATTACATTGGCCCATTCGCTGCATTGATTAGTTTAAGTAATAAATTAGTAGCTCTAGATGAAACATAGACTTTTCAAAAATCTTCAAAAGCATTTTAACATGTTTAATAGTAATACCTAGCCTGTGTATAGCCGCCCCTCCCCTCAAAAAAATCGGAGAGGATTTTTTTGAGGGGAGGGGTGGCTGTACACAGGCTAAGTAATACCGGGCGTCAATGGTGTGCAACGGTTGATAAAGGCGGTCTTTATCGCGCCTTCATGTGCTTTTGAGGCTCAGTACTGATCCATTGATTCATCCAGTGGGTTGACATCGGCAGCACTTGTATCTAACATTGTGGTATTGTTTCGTCGATATAGATAAAAAAAACCCTTGGTGCCTACCTCACAAAGCCTTGCTGTGCAGCGTTTCTTCAAATGAACAACATTAGACGCATGCGACAATATCTCTCTCAGGGAGCAGCTATAGAAGACGCTCACGCTCATTCATTCGCTGCCCATACCAGGTATTCAGGTACTGGTAACCAACCACGAAAGTGATTGGCTATTGTAATAGTTTGCCATATGGGTTGCCTAAGTTGCCTTTCAACTGGATAATAAGCCGGCTAATTCTTGGTTTTGACATGACTTCTCCAAAAAGAGCTATCGATCCTCCTTCGTTTACTTTCATAAAGAGTGAAGCCAGCTTTTACAAAACTTATTCTTTATATAATTTTTACTTTGAAAGGGTTCTTCGTTTTGTGATAGAGTACGCTTGAATTTCTAACCTTTTGAATGACAGCATTTACGTGGCGACCGAGAAAGCTGTGATGTAGAGTAAAAAGGTGACTTATTTTGGGTAATTTTGCTATCTAAACAGTCCTTGTATCAGAAAAAATATTGCTTTAATGTTTATGCGTTTCCCGAGAAATTTTCGCTTTTGCAGCAAAATTAGCCTTAAAAAACAGCCGACATTTCGCGACGCCCACCACTGGTTTCCCGCGAAATGACGTCTGAGAAACAAGCGCAGAAATTCCATATACTGATGACGTGTCACTTCCCACTTCAGATTGCTGACGCAAATTTCCCACCCGGCACGACCAATCAAAAGCACTACCCACGTTTGAGTAGTAGAAGCAGTGACGCTTTATCAGTATGGAATTTTATATGCGCTCGTTTCGCACACGTCATTTCGCAAGGAAACCAGTGGTGGCGTCGACGCAAAATGTCGGCTGTTGGTGCCTCTCAGATGGGTACCAATATGGCGTCTCCATTAGACCGCAAAAAAGTCTTTTTTTCTCAAAATCGGTTTCACTGCAAGGCGCAAACTGTGTGATATTACAGTTATACGGACCGATTTTCATTCTACGTCTCCATAAAAAGCTCTATAAATTTAAGTAAAATTAAATATTTCTCCGAATATCTCGCATAGAAATGATCGCACTGACATGAATCTTGGCGGGGTCTTTGCATATTTACCTTCTTTTATTTCCCAGATTCTGGAATTTATCTATTGAACGTACGGCTTCGTATTATCATGTTCGATGGCGTGACAGTGAATACCAGCAATAGAAATTCCATTACACTTCTTCCTGGACTTATCTTTATGTAAATTCTGGGCATAACTCCCTTTGGGAACTAACTATTCAGTAAGATTTTAGTGACTGCTGTACAGGCTGTACATAATTGAACACCTAATTACTTCAGTAATTAAGAAGCAATTAAGCCATATAACATTACGTCATGGAAAATTCGCTATACAAATTCATAACTTGTTATTATGAAAATACTATTAAATACACCCATTGTTTCAATGCAGTTAAAAAAGCTTGTTTTATGCGGACGGATATTTGAAGGTTAATTTGTTGTAAACGAAAGCCAAAGAAAAATAATTATCTAGGGAAATGAATTAAAACTAAATTACTATTCTAAACACTATGCCATACTAGATTTATGTCAATTGCGGGCAACGTTTTGCATTCCTAACAAACTAAGCCGTCAGCTCGACTCTCCATCAGAATATAATTACTTTAAAAAACAATTGTATTGACACCTTTCCGATACTGTACGAGTAAAGGCTCGAGATGAAAGTTTCAAGAGAACAAACCATTGGACAAATATTTCAGTCATTGCAAGATATATAGCCGCTGTGCCCAATTACGAGTCCAGCATTCAGCTAACTATTGCAGAAACGTTGAATAAGTGAGTTATGGCCACATGATTATGCATCATAACCGGTTTTCACAAAGACAGAACCCACCATTAATTATATGTTATCTTGTCGTTGTTTGATTTTGTGTCTCACCTTAATTTCCAGGGGTTTTTAGGGTAGGCTAGTAAAGCAATAAAGTCATTCGAAAACCACATTCTTATAAGTTTGTATAACTCTAGAGGAGCTCTTCAATAGAAATCTCTTAGTTTAATTTATAAACGAGAACGTCGAACTAGCTGCAAAGTGGAAAGCTCACTTCATCCCGTGTGATAAAAATATTACGGCTCTATACTTAACCAGATCATCTTTACCTTGGTCAGAATGTCATTGCAGTTTACGGCTTTAAACCTTGCACACAATTTCCTGACAAGTTGACTATTTCCACCGTTGAAGTGACTCGTAAACTAGTCAAAGCCTCATTAACTCTGGTATTGCCACTCGGGGTGTTAAAAGTACAAATATTTTCACTTTTTAATACTTAACTATATTAGCTGCTGCACAACTTTTGTTGATTCAGTTTAACTAACTTGTTAAAGCCGATGTTCTCTTATGACGTGCATATCTGCGTAGTACAAAAAGATTTGAAAAGATTCATATGGCGCCAGCAAATCGGATTTTAAGCTCCATTCAGATCTTCAACTTAACAGTGAACATTTATGAAACGAACAAAGCGTATGGCTTTAGCTATTTCCGGCATTTTTGAAGCAATATAGGTAAAGGCTGTCTCTGTCATTTATATGGTCAAATTTAATTACACCGATCTGTGATATCAGGTATATAGGCTAAATGCATTAGTTTATTTTCTTTTCTTTTTATCCTGCCAGAAATTCGTCTAAAGATAACACTTTCTATTCTTTTAATACACAGCGATGAAGTGCTCTTCTTCTTCTTCCCGCGCGGGGGTATTCTTAGCCTTACAGGCCTTTAGAATGATAACAATAAAATGTCTTGGAGAAAAAAACACTATATTTAGAAGCAAAGAAGCCATTTCTGACTGCGAGAAGACCATCTCTCCCGCTATCTTGTGATTCAGTTATCCTGAAACAGTTTTATTTCAGCTTCCAAAAGAAATACTGAGTAGGAAGTTGTAAAAGAAAGAGTAAACATCATTTTCCAAGTTTGTTGATTTACTTTGTGACATTTATAGACCAGACCGCTTTTTTTTCAGAGAGATTGCTTTTGCTGTGTCGAAAAAGGTTTGGCATTTCCGTGGCAATACAGACTTGATAAATCAGCGCAGCGCTCTAGTGACTTTGGCAATCTGACTGCCAACGCAAAACCGTACATCAATTAATCAGTTTTCTATTGTAGGTAAAAAAAAAAGTTTAAGTTGTAAACTGTGACATAAGAACGGGTATAAAATACATCGGCCACACTTATCCTTCCGATGATAATCCTCCTTATCTGCTGTATTTTCTGAAAGTGCTTCTGGTATTTTGTGGTATTGTTTATTGATTAATTTTAAAGTGATTTCGATTAATTAATTAATTTTGTGGTGGTGCGCGGAGGTTGCCAGGAGTATCTGACCTTGGGTGGTGGGGTGACTCCCATATAAAAGTGTCCCGGGATGCTCGTCGTCTCGCTTAGGGGTGTAAGGGACGGAAAGTCACTATATTTGCCCATTCAGGTATCGCTTAGGGCTCTGCTTAAAGAAATACACAAAAAATGACGAGATTTCTGTTTTAGTATGGTCTACTTTAGGTGTCAGTTTAAGCAGGATGGGCTCATGGTTTTAGCCTGAGCCACACCCATACTGGTCTCCCTTAGGGGTTTAATTTTAATTTTCCGACAAGCATCCCCGTCACTTTCAAATGGGAGTCCCCTAGAATTTCTGCGCCAAGTAACTGGCGGTTTTCTTTGAGGGAGATGAAGAGCAGTGAAACCTTCTTTCCCGTTTCCCGTTTTCTCTCGCGGCTTCTCTGCAAATGAAATTTTCTTCACCATGCGTTCGCCTCGCTCTAAAAAAATCACCAAATGCGCAAGTTATTCAGCATGAAGCGAATCCTGCGTTCTGATTGGCTACCCGAGCGAACAAGATTGACCCGTCTTGCCCGCATTAGTCCCGTGAGAAAAAAGTTATTTTTATTGACCAAGCTTGTTCTGTCAAGAAGGCTGGATATTGTCCTCGTTCTTTACTGCGTTTTTATTGACTGACACTTGGTCTCGGTCAACGGAAACGCAAAAATGAACTTGGCCAATATTCAGCCATCTTGACCTCTCGCTTGATCTTTTGTTGTTTCCATTGATATTTTATATAATTTGTTGTAGTTATGAAAACCTCTATTGTAACTAGACCAATGCCTCCCTTTGGAGAGTAAGGCGCAATAAAGATATACTACCACTACTACTACTACTACTACTACCACTACCACTACCACTACCACTACCACTACCACTACCACTACCACTACCACTACCACTACCACTACCACTACCACTACCACTACCACTACCACTACCACTACCACTACCACTACCACTACCACTACCACTACCACCACCACTACCACTACCACTACCACTACCACTACCACCACCACTACCACTACCACTACCACTACCACTACCACTACCACTACCACTACCACTACCACTACCACTACCACTACCACTACCACTACCACTACCACTACCACTACCACTACCACTACTACCACCACTACCACTACCACTACCACTACCACTACCACTACCACTACCACCACCACCACACCACCACTACCACCACCACCTACCACTACCCACCACTACCACTACCACTACCACCACCACCACCACTACTACTACTACTACTACTACTACTACTACTACTACTACTACTACTACTACTACTACTACTACTACTACTACTACTACTACTACTACTACTACTACTACTACTACTGCTACTACTACTACTACTACTACTACTACTACTACTACTACTACTACTACTACTACTACTACTACTACTACTACTACTACTACTACTAAACGCATATACACTGTTCAGGTGGGTGTAACTCTGGGTTAACCTTTGACTGTATTTTTTTTATTAACGGTAACTATGTCGGACAGTCCAATCCCCGAATACGGACACAGAAGGCCATATACGTTGTCCTTACATTTTATTGATTGGAGCACCATAATATCAGACAAATAAAACAGAACATTAGCATCAAGAAGCTGGAGGCCCCTAACTTGCAATTAACTTTATGAGAGCGCGCAATTTGGTCAAAAGTGGCTAATTTGTACATCTCCATTACCTGAGTATTGCGTGGATGGTAGAATAAAGTTTAAATTTATCCACCTAAAGAGTTTCTTCGAAAAGTTTAGATTTTGGGGTAATTCATTTGGATTATGAGGGGAGGGTGTGAGACCTAACCATGGGAATGAATTTGCGTTTTCCAAGGCGACGTAGTGTGAACGGGGCTTCAGATTGAGACTACATGAAGAAAACGCAATGAACAATGATGAATGCTTTCAGTTGTTTAATTATTATTACTACTTCGACGCTCAAACTTCCTCGCAACCCTTGCGCGTATTCCCCGTCATGAAGGTCACCAAGACCCTGTACTCCCCGGTGGGGATTGGGACAGGACTGAATTTTAGGGCCCAGTTTCCCTGGTTGCGTGGTATTTTGATGGCCGCCATGATGCCTGTGCCAGGTTTGTAGTCGGTGTTTTATTCCAGTTTGTCTTTACAATCAATCGCGTATTGTTTTTCGTCAGTTATTTCCTAAATATTATTGCTTTTTTAATTCTGACTTTTTAAGTTATGATTTTCTGCCTATATTATGATCAAACAACCATCGATAGTAGTCAGCTTTGTTACTGAACTCATTTAAGCTTTGGTTTATCACATGTACAATCAATGCTTTTCGCCGTGGTTACTTTTTTAACATGAAATTATTATAGGGAAATTTAGAGCTCACTATGCGAACTAGACTGCTGCATATTCTATTTATTAGGAGCTATTATTACATGTACCAGGTTTCTCAAATCAGCTCAGTCTTAGATTAATATCTCATTGGTTAGTCGTTCCTTCTCATAAAGAATTTAGGTAAAATCAATACCCTAGGAATATGCTAACATATTAATCCCCTCACACCTCAACCACCCAGATCCACGTCCCTTCCATCCTTTGTGTGACCTCATCAGTTTCAATAATATAAAGGTCTTTGACTTTTTAATTGTGCAGGGGGGTGGGGAGTTGGTTGAGACAATAAATTAATGAACATGAGTCATTGAAACATCACAGAGAAAAACTTAGGGTTTGTACAGAGTCCTGAATTCTTGGAAAAGTCTTGAAATTTGCGAAGCAAAATTGAAAGAAAGTCTGGGTAAAAGGTGAAAAGTCTGGATTTTGTTTTCAAAAAAGCTACAACAAGTGCTTAGGGCTTAGTGTGGAAAAAGTCTTTTAGATCAAAAAAAGCCTGTGCAAATCCTGAAAACTAAAAAAGAACTGTTGAAGTGACCAGAAAACTCCAATGAAAATCGCTGAAATTACGCCCAAGTCCAAGCAGGAAGATGACAAATGTCTCTAAGGGGAGTATGTGAATAGAATGAAGATATGTGTCAAATTCAGGCAACAAATTAGGGTGTTCTGGTTAACCAATTTCAAGTCAGTTAAACTCTACTTTATTGCGTATCATTGGTATTTGATGTTTTAATGTGTTAATCTCATCAGAAAATAACAGTCATAGTGTAGACAGTCCTAACTACAGAGACAAGTACAAGACACTGAAGAGGAAACTGAAGTTCTTGCTCTATGTGAGTCACATGGCATCAAAAGCTAAGAATGAAATAATATATTTATTTTGCTTGAATCTGTTCCTTAACTGTTGAACCATTGAAAATCTTCCTTGATTTGAAATACTTTTAAGCAGAATGATTAGAAGTTGGTTTCTAAGGGTGCTTACTGAAAGTCAAAACTTGGGGGCTGGACCGGTAATCATATTTTGAACATAAAGTAGGCTTACAATTACTGTTGTAAAACCTATCACTACCAAGCATACCAATATGGAATGGACGACAGTTCTGATTAGTTGTGGAATTCTCTAATTTATGAATTAAATGGTCTGGTTTGGCCAGCAAATTCAAATTTTGGATTGTCTCAGTATGGCCTCTGAGTTACAACCAACCGCTAATATACGTAAAGTTGCTACTTATTATTATACCCGGCTGAATTGCTGAAGTGTTTTTTAATACTTATTAATAATGTTATTATGTGCTTACTATCACAGGAACAAGAATATTTTCAAGAAGAGCTCAGAAGAGTTCAGAAAAAACTTCTTCGAGTTTCTAGAGATAAAAGGTACACAAAAGAAATGAGTTAGTCTTAAATCGTTTGTTTTCTTTCAAAAAAGAACATTTTTAAAGTTCTTAAAACCATTTAGTCGCAATTATTGATTCTGATTGGAGCCCCTGATTTACCATTCATATACATTTGATGAAGATTAATGGCAATCACTAAATTAATGCAGTCTTTGTTCTTGGCTATGAAGGGTTCAGGTCAGCTGCTGTCAATATTTAAAGTTGGAATATTAACTTTGATCTATAATTTTTTTCTCTAGTTTTCTACTAGACAGACTCCTTCAGTATGAGAATGTGGATCATTCCTCATCAGGTAAAACACTTACAAATCTGTTTCTTTAACTGAGTGTTGTCCAGTTCAGAAACCCAACTCTCACGGTTTGACTGTGAGACTCATGGTTTGGGCTGTCAACTCACGGTCTCACAATTTAGCCGCTAAATCTCACTGTGAACCATAAAATCTTGAAATTGCCTGACAATTCCAGCAGAAATCGTGTCATTTCAAAAAATCTGTCTTCATAAGGGACGAAATGAAATTCTAATTCTGGGGGAAACCTGGGTCCAATGTCAACCCCCATTTGTATGAAACATAGGATTGCTAAGATAAAGCAAACTCAAAAGCAAACTCAAAATGGCTACTCGCCATCCTATGGATGTGGATACTTGTGAAATGGAATCTCAAACTGACACAGGGAATTTAAAGCCTTAGCCTCTGAAGAAAAAAAAATTGCCAAAACATCATATTTTGAAAATCTCCATGTCTGAGGTCCCAATCTCCATGTTTTTGGGTGCTTTTTTCATATCCTCCAGGTCACTCTATCAAGTGACTACTCTCAACAAAAACATGGTGATTTTTAACCAAGTTTCTTAAAAAAAATAACTTGCTTAACTTGTTAAGTGTAGATGCTGGGTAAGCTATGAGCAGACTGACTTGTCTTATGCAAGTTGGAATGGCCAGAGTGAGCTGGCAAGAAAAATGGGACAATGAAAAGTCATCTCTGGCAGTGACAAACCCAATAGTTTATCTCTAACAGCAAAATCTTAACTACCGGTAGTTATGTCAACCTTGCCATGCTATCTGTGGTTTACGTGTTGAAAATCTTAATCTAAATCCGATACTTTTGTACTTATACTTGTTTTAATGTTTTTAGATGATGAGGGTACAGCATCTTCCTCTGGGGTTAGCGACAATGAAGGACCAAAGGCATGTGGTGTTCAACTAGTTGCAAGTATTCTTTCAAATTAAATAAAGAAAGCACCCAAAGGGTCAGATGTCATTCCTTGTAACAAACCCATCTTGAATATAATCATTAGGAAGTGGGCTAAGTTTTTCTTTTATTGAAATAAAAAAAAATAATAATAAAATCAGCTAGGATGTTTCATGATGATCCAAGTTGAAGCCAACTGTGCTTTTCTCAGCAGTGTAGGATAAGGCAGAATTTTCCAGTTTGAGAACTCTATGCCAGTGTCTGGTTGAGATTTAGTTTGTACCTCACTTGCCCATTGATTGAAGAAAAAGCGAACAGAAAACACTTAACATAGGAAAATGTAGTGCATGATGATTTCCATTTTGTTTGTTTACAACTTTACTGTTCATTATTATTTTTATCAATTATGGTTTTTCTGTTCAAATTTTATTGTAGGTCCTGATGGCAGAGAATCCTACACCATCTAGCAGGTAGGCTTTTAAACTTCTGTTCATGACACTTATTTTTAAACTGTTTAAATAATATTATTTAAACAGTTATTGTTCTGGTAAATGTAGAAGCTGTGGCTTTCATAACTCTAAACTGAGGGTTAAATTTCAGTTGGGCTACTTACGTTGCAGTGTTAATACTAAAATAGGGACACTTGAGGGCAGAGTTAAGTGTCTGCAATATCCTAAAATATTACTTTTCAATTAGCAGGCCAAAGAAAGCACCTGCAGCCATCAATCATGGACTTCCATCTGAAAGTATGGGGGTATTTCCATATCCTTCTTCAGATGGAACAAGCAGTGCTGTGAGTTAATTCTTGATTAAATCTGTAACTTATCCACAAATTCCAAAGGTATAAACCGACCAGGTCAAACACCTACCATTGTAGCATGTTATTAGCATAGACAGACAGCCATTTGGATGTGGGCACAACCTAATGTACAAATTTATAAATAGTGGTGCAGGAATTATTCTTTAATAAGTTCTTCACCCTGAAATTCCTATAGTTATATGATTTTCATAGTTTCATTATTTCATAGTCAGATCCTTTCATGGGTTTATACCAAACCAACTCAATGAGCTGTTCCCAGTTGGTAACTCAATTGGCAGAGCACTGCACTGGTATTGTAGATGTCAAGGGTTCAAATCCCATGCTAGCATTTTTTTTTTTTCAGGCTTCTTTTTGCAACTGTGTCTATAACTGCAATGATCATCTTTCATTTAAAGCACAGAGGCTTTGATTTTATAATTATCAGATTTTAAGATTTCTTACACAGACTAACGGTAAATGTTAGGCCAATCTTGTACTGCATAGATGTACTGTTAGCAGTGCAAAAATAATGGAAGTACCTTTGAATAGCTTGTATTTCAATTGTTGCCGTTTTGAATGGTAATTATGTTACCTTTTCTTAAGAGCCCAAGTGGGGACTCCCATATAAAAGTGACGGGGAAGCTCCTCGGAAAATTAAAATTAATCCCCCTAACAGAGACCAATGTGGTTGTGGGTCAAGTTTAAACTGACCCTTGAGGGAGACCATACTAAAACAGACATCTAAATAGGAGCTAGAGTGGTTTTTATTGTGTTCTATTTTAAACATTAGATTTCTGTGTGGTTGGTATCAGAACATTTTTTGTAAATTTCTTTTTGCACAGCCCTAAGAGATACCTGAATTGGCAAACATTGTGACCATCCCAATCACCTTAAGTGGGATCAAGATCTGCAATTTACACGTGCACCCCTAAGCGAGACAACAAGCATCCCTGTCACTTTTGTATGGGAGTCCCCACCCAGCTTGAGAAATATAGGTTTTACTGGTTTACCCCATTGTAGCCAGTTGACTAACATTAATTTCGTTTTCTTTAATTTTAGGGAGGTGAATCAACTACAGCTGCATCCAAAACGAAAAGTTCAATTCAATGTAAATATGTGAATAATGTAAGTAGAGCATCTTTGTTTACCTCGCACAGTTCAACACATAACTATTTTTATAGTGTGAAAGGTTTAAACCCAAACAGGTCAATAACCAGAGTTTTAATAATACTATCAACTGATGATACAACTCACTTTGTCTCTGCAGATGACTACCACAAAGGTTGTTGAAATGTCAGTCACTATTGACAACAGTCCTATTTAATTCAGGAGTGCATTCTCACAGATGATCATGCTCACTCTACTTTTTATAGTTTTATTCAAAGAAACTAATATATTTTCTTTGAGTGCTTCTGCTTGATATCTTGTTTTTAGAGACCAGTAATCAAGAAAGGCTTGAGTTGCTTTTGTTTTCTAAAATGTGGTTTAAGGATTGACGCATAGCTACCTAATTTTGTCTTGTACTCCTGGTCTATAAACCCTCTTTCAGGTTAATTCCCCATAGATCTATCTATCCGTTGGGTGTCTCTCTCTGTCATATCATGGTTTGTCTCTTCCATGGTGAACTCTGTCTTCATTGGACACGTTGTTAGCTATCTTAACATCACTACTTAAGCCTGGAATACTCACTATTTGCATGATTGGGGGAAACCAGAAATTGCAACGCTTTGCCAATTTGGAAGCTTTAGAAAATACAGGCTGTGTTGTGCCACGTCTTCTTGAGGTGCCCTTACTGTGCGCTGCGTCTGATATGATACTGATGTCTACATTGTACTTCTGTGTTAGGGAAATCAGTGTCAGGAGAGAATCAGTAAAAGATCCAAGTCAGGATACTGCGGTGCTCACAGAACTGTTGTACGCATCTCTAAACAAGGTCAGTTGATATTAGTTATTGATACAGCAAGAAAAGAAACATTTTGAGAAATTTATAGGTGTAGTTTAAGCTGTTATGTAAACAATGGTCTATGCAGTCATTCTTTTGGAATAAGAAAGAGACATTTTTACTTTCAATCTTACACATGGGTCTATGCTGCTACAGTACACAGCTTGCTGTCTACTGTTATCCTTGTTAGCCTGAGCATCAGGTGACGCCTTCCTTAGTGTTTAGGGAGAGAAGATTCTCCTTTTTCCCCAGAAATGCTCGATACTCAGGTTATATAACAATAATTCACCGAAATGGAGATGGCTAGTTGTGGATATATTAACCAAGCTGCGAAGCAGCGAGGTAAATATCCACCACTAGTCAGCAACACTGAGGGGAATAATAATTATTTATTATTGTTTTAGTATGTACTAAAACAGTGAGATAATTGAGCACAAAAATGATGATTTTTAACTCAAATACTGTTGCCAACGATTACAATTTTGTCACTTTTTCTTGCCGACAAATAAAACTTTTGAAGGCATTTGTTTAGCTCTTGCGGGAAAATTTCTTCACAAGGAGTTGTGAATTCTTTTTGTATTTAAAATCATTGTGTAAAAAAAGATTATTAAATTTAGTTTTAGGCTTATTTATGAACAAGTCAACTAAATAAAGTAATGCACGACTTAAGCTTAATTTGCATTTGTAAACAAAAAACTTTGTCGTGGTTTTATCGATAAATTCGAGTCAAAAAGACAAAGCTTTACCTGTTAAAACTTCCAAACCGAACTTCGTCACCTTCTTCATGTATTTCAGGAACAGCTTGCTTGATTAGTTGTGAAATTTCTTTGTTTGTTGCGGCAGCAAACCAGGAAGGCATTTTGCTCGCAACTTATGCGAGTTTGGCGTCGCTTGCTCGGAAGAACCTGGAGGTGAATCAGTGAATAGTGCAGTATATTCACTGATTGAGTAGCTAATCAGAGCACGCGAAAAACACTATCCACTGTTTTAGTATATACTAAATCCTTTTATTATATGGCTACAATAGTATGTGCACTCTGATTGGCTGTTTTCTTGTAATGGCTGGGCATTACTAGCTAGGTGTCCAAAGCATATACAATCTGTGTTTAATTTGATACTGCACATCCTTATGGACATCCATGTTATGGTCAATTGACAGCTGTCAAAAAGGGTATTCGCTGACCAGTGTCACCTGACTGTATCGCAGGCTCAAGTGTACAACTCATTGAGGTGACGTGTTTTTCGAAGTTATCCACTGACCAGTTGTTGGTTTTAATTGATTGGAGGCCCAGGTCCATAATGAAAAGGCCATATAATAACTTATTAACCTTGTCTGTTCATTCATTACAGGGAAATCTCAGAGAACGGCCTTGATGTATTGACCTCACTATCACTCGGTCAATACATCAAGGCCTCGGTCTGAGATTTCCCTGTAATGATCTCACTCTCGGTTAATAAGTAGTATGTTAACAATCAACTTCACAGCAAAATATTCAGTCATATTTTTTGCTTTTCTCACTTGCAAATCAGTCTCACCACTGGTCATCTTCACCAAGCCAGTAAAATTGTGAAGAAAGTGGATTCAAAAAGTTGATGGTTGGTTTTGATGGGGTGATTGTATAGTATTAAGTTCTTTGAAGAATAAGCGTATGACTGGACTTTTGTTTAGGCCAGAAAAACAAGAGTGTTGGTAGTAACAGGATGGTCATATGACGGGTTTAGTTTTTATCTCCACAAACATTTGCAGAGAAATTAATTGGAATCGGGTAGAATTACTTAGTTTTTCTCAGGTCTTTTCAACTTCTTAAAGTGCAAAGTTGCTTGTTTATGCCGTAAGGTATTTTTTAATGTTTTTATTGTAGCCGTATCATCTCCCAAACAACCTCATGCAAGCTCCAAACCTGTACCAGACCCACCAAGGGACCATTCATCTATGGTGGATCATGTAAGATTGAATTTAACCTTTTCTTAAATGCCACCACTAGCAAATTATCAATTGCCTTCCATTGTCGTCCTTTCCTTTAGTGATTTTTATTGGTCTATATCTCAGTCAGGCGATCCATACTGTTCAACTCCTCTGATTTACTCTCTATAACACAACAGAGCCTTTGAATATGAAATTTTTGGCACTTTTTTTACGTGATCTCAGAAGTTTAGTCAAAGGTCAACAAAAAGAAACAGTACAAAAGAGTCACCGAGGAAAAATAAAGTAGAAAGTGAAGGTTGAATATTTCTCTGTCGTTCTCTAATTTTTTCTCCAAGAGACCGCTTTGGTCTTGGTGCTGACCATAAGAAAGGCTGGCTCTGGGGCCAATTTTTTTTTTTTTAAGGCAAACGGCAAACGTCAGATTCAATTTGAGATTTTCTCAAAATAGAAAGTAAGCAGATAAAACTGTCCCTAACAATGATATTATTCTTAGGGATAAAGCTGGCGTGAAACTGCTTATTTTCTTTTTTGTAAAACTAATACGTTTGCCGTTTGGCGTAAACGTGGCTCTAAATCTCTCTAATGAGTTAACCATTAAAACAGTGCAAATGTTTTCAGGTATATCCTTTTGAGCATTCTCTCTTGTTTTGAGTTATTCATTATTTTGATAAATACTTCTTTTAATTATTTCAAATCCGCTTAGCAACAATTGGAACGACTTAACCAATTATCTGAATCCAGTAACCACGAAGCTTCTCATGTTCCTCAAGCCACAGAGGAACTGCCACAGGAGATGTTTAATGTAGAAGACGACGAGAGAGAGAGGTACGCTATTGCAATGCTAATTATTCAGTCGGTCGTATACAAGTTCAGTTATCATGGCGATTTTTCCTGTGACAGTTCAGCCTTGGCTAAACAATCAAAGATTTTAGCCCAGCTTCATTCGGTTTGAAGAAATTGTTAGGGGAGCATGTTTGATCGTTAAACCGTCTCTCTTAACCCAACATTTAAATTGTTTCCGAAGGTTTATCTAGACCAAGCGTTTTCATTCAACAGTTTGCTTGGCAAGTGTATGGTCGAGTGTTTCAGCTAAAGCTTCCTACTGTACTAGAGGAGGTGGAAGCAGAAGCGGAAGAAAAAGGCAATCGTAGTTCTTCGGCTTCTGCTTCTGACTCTGACGACCCACTTTTCACTTGATCAAACCTATCACATGGAGTCTTGAGTTGAATCAGAACCCTCTTAAGTAAAGTTCTACGCTTCTGATTACGACTCCGACTCCGTCGCTAGCGAAAACCAGCCTTAGTAAGTGTTTCCCTCGAGGCCAGTCTTACAGTGTTAAATCAAAATGTCTTCGTTTGAAATTTTTGCAGTGAAAACGACGATTCTCCAGGATCCTCTAGTTTCCATGGTAATATATATGAGGGCGATGACGATCTAGTTATTGACTTACAAGAATAGAAGAGGTCAGGTGGACGCGTAGTTATCCCAGAAAGATTTTACTTAAACTTGTTTTGTACATGGATGGTACTTGATCACCACGCCCCCCGTTTCTGACGCGATGCTGTGTGCTTGAGCCGGAGAAGACACAGTTCTTAATGTATAATTTTATGCCTGGGACATGTGGTCACACCAGACAAAGGTTGTGCGTTCAAGACTTTTACTGCTAATGATCAGAGAATTTCCATCCAGAACTAACAAGAAGACGGTCCAATTTTCAGAATACACAGCCCAGGCTACCTGGGATTGTTAAGCGGCAACTTGGACACTCGTTTTAAAATATTTCTGCTCAGTCTTGTTCGCTCGTGGTAGTGTTTTATGTAGCGAGTGCGCAGCCACAGGGGTGCTTGCGTGCTGGGAGAAAAGATCACTGGACTGGACACTTAGTTTGATATAGTCGTAAGGAGTTAAGAGGCTCAAGATTTTAGTCTGTTCACCGACAGACCTTCTATTTCGTCATGTGAGAATTTGTAAATAAATACCGCGGGGGATTTATTGACCGCTAGCGCCAGGGGGCTGGGGTGGGTACAGACGTTTTTTTCCTTTTTCTCGTACTCCGCGTTCGTTCTCGCCCCTCACCCACGCTTTCGCGCCTAGCGCTCTCCCTTCGCTTGCGCGTTTGTTGAATTCCTCAAAAAAAAGAGAAGAACGTCTAGAGAACAGACTTAGATTTGAGTGCGATGACTAGATTGAATAGTAGATCCGAAGTCAGGTTTGTCCACAGTGCTCTAGTTCCTTCCTGTTCCTTTTAATCTCTCCTACTCGTCCCCATCTCTCTCGTTCGTTCCAGGGGACGAAATGTAGAGGAGCCTGGTAGCCTGAGTATCAGGCGTTTCTGGGGAAAAGGGGAAAGATGGAAGCGAAAAAGGGAGAGATCTAAAATCTCCTCTCCCCTAGCCCCTTAGGAAGGCCTGATACTCAGGCTAGGAGCAGGAAGCTGGGAATGAAGTTGACTCGAACCTAATCTCTCATACTTACAGTTCTTTTAAACGCTAACCAATGTCACTGAGTAAAAGGACATGCTCTGTGGAGATATAGTGTTGTCTAAACTGCTAGATGTAGTCTTCGTGGTAGGCTCAAAAAGGGGAGGGGGAGGAGAGGGTGAACAAACCCCTTCTTTTTCTCTTTCTCACCTTTCGACGCCTACCACGCAGGCTAGCTAGATGAAACAAGACCTTTAGTTCTTAATAAACTCTTTATTTAACGTTTCTTTATGTCACACTGTAAATTGTGTAGGTCTAGTTCGGTCATCTTTCTTTAATGAAAAGTTTGTGTGGTACATTCCATCTCTGCGTGTTTCAGTCACTCTTGAATTTTGCAGTCGGATCAAAGCTTTTCGCATAAGGAAAGTCGAGAATGGAAAAGACCGAGATGAAATAAAACGACAAGATGATCAAAAACACCTGAGCATTTTAGCGCCGGGAACATCACGAATAAAACGTGACATACAGCTCGCAACCTATATACCGACCAACACCTCTAAACATTTGTATGCTTGGTTAGTTTTATTTGTTTCGAGTACACAGATAAATATAAGTTAGAATTAAAGTTGGAACACTTGTGGCACATACCATTAATATTGTGGCTAGCATTTTCCATAGGGCATATCTGCTCGCACATTCTTTAGTTTGCAAGATATCAAGGTGCTGTTATCTCCCAGACTTCTGGCCTCTTTGGAGGAATTGTTTTCCGGAAGAACAGCATCAAATTCACAGCGATGGAGGTGACGGCGTTACAACAGCAAATTCTGAATGCCCATCGAAGATTCGCAGACGCGCAGTGGCGACTAAAGATGGAAAACAAGCGAACTGACGAGAACGTGAAGTGGATCATTTCACACAGTCAACAGCTACACGAGTATCAAGAGATACTAGAAGATATAACTGAAACTTGGAAAGAGAAAGCTGAGAAATTGCGACTTGTATACAAAAGACTTGAGTTGCGTGGCCAAATTGAGTTCATCAAAGAAGGATTGAAGAAAGCCAGGGAGCTGACTTCGAGTGCCGAGGAGAAAGTTAACAAAGTGGGCCAGGAAATAGAGAAAATGAACGAAGAAAGATGGGAAATTGGAGTTGTGGATGAGAGGGAGAATGACTTCTTTGTAATTAAGGAAAGCCCTGACGATGGAATAGAGGATTATTTGGAATCGCCGAGGCCACTGACTCAGGATGAAATAGAATATCAGGAGCTGATATTGGAGCGAATTGATGATGCAAATACACGAATCAAGATTGCCAACGAAAAGTGTGCTAGTTTGCAATTGCGTAAACGAAAAATAATCGAGGAAATTGAAAATTATAAAAATCGAAAAAGAGACGCCATCAAAGCACGACAGAGTCTCAAAGAAAAGGATCAAAACGCAAACTTGAAGCTTTATTTTGTGGAATTTGGTATTATATAATGATATGCAAAGCAAAGATGTAGTGGACCAATAAGTACCTACTGATATTGACTGCGGCTTGCCAAAAGTAATTCAATGTATCGCGCTTGGGATTTCGCTAATCATCATCGATCAGGATATGAAAAGAGCGACCGGAATGCAACACAAAAGTACTAATTAACTTGCCACCCGAGTCCACATTCTTTGCCACTGTAAGCGCAAAGGAAGAAGAGACGAAATGACCGAAGTCTAATATGAAACCGATATTGGCTTTTTTTTTTCCACCATTTTTTTCTTCGCTGTAAGGATCAGTTTTTTGCTTTGAGTCTTGGTTGGTTTTTTTTTTTTGTAACTTGCCATTTATCCTTCTTAAAGTGTCATTTTTTTAACTCCCCAATTATCCTTCTTAAAATGCCATACACGCCTAGTAAGAGAATCAGCGACGGCCTGGGACGAGGCAAGGCCTTCTAGTATTTAGAACACAGATAACCTCGAATAGTGCTAACTGGTCACTTAGAGAACACTCGCCCTCCGAAACAGTGTTTTAAAATTTTGTCACATATACTCGTCGCCTTGTTAAGTTACAGTTTGAAGACTTTTCCCTAGCAACGGCCTCAAAAGATACGATAATGAGCCCTTGAAAAGTCACATTTAGTCTGAATTTCAGACTCGTCAAGAAAAACGGTGTATGGTTAAACAGTGACGTCATCGGGACAAGCGCATTGTCACGTGAAAACAGATTCAGGTTTTTACTGAGTAACCTACATTTCGGCTCAAAATATTTAGTCTCGCTATGATCCTTATGCAAATACGACAAAATATAAGCATGGATTTTTCGTTTTAATCTAAGCTTCAGAAATGATAATGAAACGAGTGTTACACGAACTACACTTTCGGACATAACTTCCCCGTGTTTTTGAACTTTCGCAAAAAACATGCTTACGTTTCTTGAAAACAGGTTGTTTTGAAAAACAACTGACGAAATGTTTTGCTGTTAGTGAAAAATGCTTCGTGGTACTTTCATCAGAAGTTACACGTCACACGTGACTGGCAACACGTAACACGCAATAGCCAGTTCATAAAACTGGCAAGAGTGCCTCGGCGTGCATCCCGAAAGACTCAAAAGGTGGCGCAAAAAGCTCCCATAAACGTTTTTAAGCTAGTGTTTCGCGAAACTTTCTAATTTTTTGGACCCGGAAAAATTGAATTGAACACTTTGCCAAATAATTTTATCATTGCTCACACGCTGGCCGCTCCCGAAGTGTAGCTAAACATAGCAGTTTTTCCATTAAAGATTTGCGTCTAAAAACAGAACTTAGCTATAAAAGTAAAATTTGTAGAATAGTTACAGAACTCTAGCGAACAGTTACTGTAGAAAATCATCTGTTTGATCTATCCAATAAAAAGTGAATTTATCTTTAAGTATGAATAAACAAGTCCACGCACGCGATAAGTGCAACGTTTATTCAACAAATTGCAGTAAAATTATATCAAATGCAAGCTTTTTAGCAGTGCGGTCCGTCGTTGGGTGGTCTGTGATTTCGTCGGCAGTCTGTGCATATTTTGAAGCGAGAGAAATCGAGAAAAAACAAAGTTTGGTGCTGAATCTGCGCGTCACAATACCATCATAACGTCCCAATCCCATCATGCTCAGCGTGTTTTGTACCTTTCTTAGCTAGCCTGTGTACAGACCCCTCCTCCCCTCAGGAAAAATCGGAGGGAAGGGGGGTCTGTACACATGTTAGCGAAAACGTGATTTCTGCTATCAAATGCCGAATGATAATCAAGGACAGAATGATATTCAGACACTACCCAGCTGGAATGAATGTGCATGTGGACTTTAATTTCTTTTGAACCTTTCAAAGTCAGCGCGCGCATGTAACGTTACCTCTTTGCTTTGAATTTTATTTGAACGTTATATTGCGCGTGCATTACTTGTAAACGAACATTTGCGTTGCGTTGCATAGTTTATCAAACTTCAGGGCCACTTCAAGAGGCGAGGTAAGTTCCTTTTCTTCGTGGATTAATCGTTTTCCTTTCTAACTATTTCGGAGTATTCCAAGTTTTAGCGACATCTGATGCATATTCCATCTAAGGAAACGAATTATTTTGCTCAATTAGTTGCAACGATTGCTCGTTCTAAAACAAATGAAATGAGTTATTTAAATGAAACGAGTCGTTTTACATGATTGCCACTGTGCACAATGACCCACTGCGGGCTGGCTCGTACCAGTTGTGAACAAAGTCATTGCACTCGCAATCTGACCCACCGCAGTCACAGGTGGCCCAAGCGTAATATGAGAGAGTTTGTATGGGAAAAATAGAGTTTGAAACTTAGATGAAATAAATGAAGTAAAAGCGATAAAAGTTGTCAATAAAGTGTAAATATTGTTACCTGGAGCCGTTGTCTTTGTTTTCTTATTATTACACTGTCAGGTCAGATGTTGTAAAAGTACTCAAAACGCGCTGAAACTTCGTAAAAGCAAAGACAACGGCTCCAGGTAACAATATTTACACTTTATTGACAACTTTTATCGCTTTTACTTCATTTATTTCATCTAAGTTTCAAACTCTATTTTTCCCATACAAACTCTCTCATATTACGCTTGGGCCACCTGTGCCGCAGTCACAACGCAAATAGACCGAGTCCGTGTACTCGGTGGCCATAGCGCCAGACAAATTGCTGTTGTACCAATAGTGACACATGTTGTTGTACCAGAAACAGTGACACTCCCTGTTCTTGAACCAGAAAACATAGCTTCATTCGAAAGCCAAAGGAATACGGAGGCGGCGGAGTGAAAATAGAATAAAATAGGCTGAAAATAAAATTAGACATTCCATTTTAGCTCTTCCTCTGTTATCCACGTCAATGTAGACATCAAAATTAAGTCGACCGAAAGAATCGGCGTTGTTGTTGTTGTTGCTTTTTATCACTAAAAGTCCAGGTGGCTATGCGATTTACCGCCGAAATTGCGAGTACTTGAAATGCAAAATTTCACCCCGGCGTACATGAAGGGGTGGACGTACCTACGGACGTACGGACGATTTTCTCAGAACTAAAATTTCTTGGATGCATAGATAACCAAATTTTCTTACCTATGGTGCTCCGCTTCGCGCGCGCCAGAGCTCCGCTAAAAACATATGGATTCCATGTAGACAGCGTAGCAGGCGCAGGTTTTTCTAGGGCGAAGGAAGAAAAGACCGGCAACAGCGAGATAAAGGTGGCCTTCATACGCATAATTACACCTTATGTTTGATTAAGAGTTTTCAAGGGTCGTAGGAGTTACCGATTATGATTCATCAGGCCCGTTTCAAACGTGGCGCTACTTCCGTGTCGAACTCAAATGAATTTGACCCGGCAGTTGCACGGCAATAGCACGGCTGTGATTTCAAACGTCGAATTTAATTCAGTCGCACCAAATTCAAAAGAAACAAAACGTCGTAGTCAGGGACAGGAGAGTCAAAACACTTAAAATATACATTTCATATTTTATGAATTGAGTTCGGCACGGCAATAGCGGGACGTTTGAAACTGAGCCGTGCCACTGCCGTGTAGCACGTTAGACCCTGTCGAATTTAATAACCGTGTCGAACTTAATTCAAGTTGCTAAACTAAATGGTTTCAAACGTCGTGCCACTGCCGTGCCAAATTCTATCAATTGAGTTCGACACGGCAGTGGCACGACGTTTGACACAGGTCTTAGTGGCATGAAAAGGCGGAAAAGAAAAAAATACATATTTTCTCGTTATTAATGTTTTTATTATATAAGTTAAAATTCTATTTTAATAAAAATTGAGGGCATCTTCACAATGTTAAAAAATGTTTAGACCTCCCTCTGTTTCAGAGCGTCGTTTTTCGTTAGGGATATCTGAGGTTGCCATTACATTTGTCTCGTTAATTAGTTGCTTGTGGTCGAAAGATCGAAATTTTGATTCTCTCTAGTACCAATGGTAAAGTTATGGCTATAGCAGCTATGAGAATTTGGTAATAAATCAAGGCCATCGATGCTTAATTTTGGACACCTGTCTCACTTGACAATGTAACGATCAGATATTGTGGCGGTTAAGTGAAATTATCGCTGTTGGTGTTCTTAAAAGAATAATGATGGCTCATTGGTCATTGAAGTCGTTGTTTTTATTCCCCTATTTGCAGTAGTATTTCCAATGAGTACATTATTATGTTCTTGTTTTGTTACGATTCAGGCCTTGAATTCAAGCGGAATTTATGAGAAGACGCTGGAAGGAGAACCGGTTATGGGCGAAAACATTCAGAGGTTGAAGTCGTGTATAACCGACTTTAGGAATAAGATCGAGTTTGCAGAGGAAAGAAGTCGAAGAGCTGAGAAGGTTTTGAAAGTGAAGGAACAGAGACACGATATTCTTTTGGAAGACATGGCACTGATTCATGAAAAAGTGACGCTGAAAAAAGACAAGTTAAAGAAAACTCACGTGCTTCTGGAGGGGAAACATCATCGACTAGAAAAGTTAGACGAAGTTCTGCGTGAAAAAACAGAAATCTGCAAAGAACTTACACGTAATGACACCCAGAATTTTCGAAAAACTCTGGAGTTGGAGATTGCAATGAATAAAGCGCGCGCTAAAGCTATGGATTATGAAAATAAGACCATAGAACTGAAAACCCGAGCTAAGTTGTGTGAAAGAGAGATTCAAATGGCAAAAATCGCAGAGATGAAGGCGAAGCGTAAGACTGCCGACCTAACCAGCCGGCTCATCACTAGGAAAGGGCTTTTGGAAAGACTGAAAATCAAGGAGGAGCAGTTTCACAAACGCGAAGAAATTTTCGTTTATAATATACACAATTTAGAAGAGAATATTCAAGAAGCAACTACACGGGCTGAGGCTGCGGAAAGAAGAATAACTCTACTAAAAACTAAAGTTTCACAACTTCGCCAAGAACTTCTCCAACAGAGGAGTAGACGCAAGAGAATATTTCGACTGAAGAATGAACTTGAACATCTGCCGCTAGACTATTGATTTAATGAAGTTAAAATATTCAGTTGCCTTCAGAGTTTGAAAAACTATATTTTTTTGGGACTTCGCGTCCTCTGGCTTAAACAGTTTGTATTTTAAAAACTATTTTTACCTGATCTCTGAAAGTCTAGAGATCCGAAAGATTCATGCATTTCATTGTAGAAAATGAAGACAATGTTTGCTCAATGTTCCAAAAATTCTAGATCTCTCAACCGAACTCCCAACGCTCAAAAAATATCCCCAAGTTCATTCTTAGTACTATTAGTAAAAACAACACTAGGTCTGGCTCTTCTATGAATATACTTAAAAAACGTACCCTTAATCAAAGGACAAGACTTGTGTAAGACAATATTATCCAGAAAACTGAAAGGTTAGCGCACGGGATTTTTGTAACTGATAGAGAAATAAAGTAAAACAACCAAAACTTTCGAACTTTATAAGGTCATGAATTATTTTATTATAACCTTTGGACAATCTTGACATAGACTATTTCAAGGTATGTATCACTGTATCTATTTTCAAAATATAGCAAACTTATAACTTTTAAAGTTTAGCGTAAAACTTTCAAACCTCGACCACCTTGTAGCTGTACATGCTCCGGCTGCGCGTAGATGTTTTGATATTTTACATTGTATTCATTATTAGAAAAAATACATCAGTCTCCTTAATCATACGAAGAACTGCCAGTGTTTCTTGACCTTTTTGCCGAATGAAGAATTACTTTGCTCATCGAATTGTATTATTATACACATACCTGCAACATACGAATGAGGAAATAAATAACTAGAATTATGTTATGATTATGTATCATCTGCTTTTCTTTCCACTCCGTTTGTTTCTTTTATCTTTCGCCCTTTGGCTTCTTAAATCTTTCTTCATCCGTTGGTCAACAATCTTATAAGGGCCTTTCACTCCCGCGGGTCTCTTCATTCGCTTTGCAGCTGAAAAAAGAAACAAAAAGCTTAGATAAAGTTCAGATTTTATATAAAGTTTTTACAGGTAACATTGCTGTTTTGTATTCTGAATTTGCCACGTGGAAGTGTGGCCAGGAGTGTCACACAAGTTCGTGCCTTAAAAATTCTTTCTTTTCGCGTTAAGTCGGTGTCAAAATTTTCAAGTAAATATGGAGTCAAAAGTTGTCTACATCTAGTTCGGCGCAACAAAGACGCTGCCCTTGTTTCAGTTACCCTGAGTCCCACTTCGAAAAGATTAGTGTTCTTCTGTATTTTAGTACATGTTGCTGCTGATTGTTGAACGCAGTAAAACAAGCGTAAAGTGCACGAAAAAAACCAAGGGAGTTTTGTTTTATCTTTCCAATCAGGAGTACACTGCCCTGTGTTTACCGAAGGCATGCAAATACTTAGATCGTGTCACGATCCACAGTTAGCCGATCATGCCCTCTCCCTGTATCTCTTTCCCTCTCCTCCACTCATAAAATAAAACAAAATAAAATATAAAAGAAGCTTAGCGCGGGTAGAGAAGTTTAAGTCCAGTGCTTTGAAGGACAGATTTGACGATGGAGTTCGACCTCAATACTGCTATATTTTTTGTGCTACAAATAAGTTAAGTCTAACAAACCAAACAAAATTTTGAATTAAAAACTGTCAGTCAAAAGTTGCGAACAAAATAATGCCGTTCATACTTAGGACAGAGAAAAAACTTCTTACCCTGGCTTTTCTTGGCGACAACGTACTTTACTTCTTTGGGTTTGCCTTTTAGAGCAGCCTTTTTATACAAACTGAAAAGAGAATAGGATAAAGACTACAATTACCTACAGGACCAGACAATGGTTCATTAAAATCGGAGAGATCGTAACGACCTCAGCTTTTGCTGGTTTACAGCTAACTTAAAGGTGGCCATGTTGGTTGGAAAGAACACAAGCTTTTCCCTCTACTGGAAACTCAAATCTTTTTTCAAAGGAAAAAAAAAGGTCTATTGTTCTGTCAACCAACATGAAAGACATGTCACATGGTTGCGAATCAAGAATATAATGACCTTTTTTCATTCATGCCAGGCCCGTTGGAACACGTTTGAAAGTGACAGGCCACGAACGCTATCAGAGCTGGTGGCGTACTCACGCAGACGTTTTGCTGGAGGCCCACTCCCATGGGGGGGGGCATCGGGTATCCTAGCCTGCGAGCAAGGTCTCCTATTTGGGCAAGCGAAGCGGCTTCACCGCTCGCTCGCGCGTTCTCGCGAGCCTCGCTTCACTCGTCCAAATATTCCTTCAAAATTAAGTCTTCTTTTAAGTAAAATTTCCCAAAAAAAATTGGGGTAGGGGGGCACGAAGAATCTGACACAGTTAGACATCATAACGTCAATAGTCAAAACAAATTTTCAACCATAAAATCTTATGACATTAACCGTAGTTGGATGTTTGATCGTAATCTGCAGCAACAGAAAAGAGAAGGCCTAATTTTTTATCTTAATACCTACCTTCTTATTTGGTTCATTTTTTCTTTTTCTGACACATCAACTGTATCGCAAATAGCCTCTGCTTTTTTACGTGCCTTCTCAAGTCGTTTCATCTCCTAACAAAATAGGTTTATCGCAATAACGTCAATAACAAATCCCTAAAACCGGCATAATAAGCGGTTTCTTGCGAATAAGTGTATTTTGGGGGTTTGTGCTGCCGTGATGAACATAGTCGGTCAAGTAATCTTCACCACGACTACTGACTCGTTTCTTCTTAACATTGCAGCTGTTGAATCGTCAAGAATTGCCTTTCCATTTATCACCCAACCAGGTGTAGTATTCCTAAAAATTTCCTCATAATTTATCTAGCTCATAATTAGTGGGAGGAGGTCCCCCTTTTATCTTCCTCGCTTCAACGCCCCAAGTTTCCACAACTTCAGCATTTCTTTTATGGCCCCGATAACTTTACGAGCCCGTAAAAACACGAAAAACACGAACTTGCTTCGTTTAATAATCTCATTATCAAAACAATTTGGATCATTTTCAATTCAAATTGTTGAAAGTATCATGCTCACAAAAGAGGGTTTTTTCGTTCCAAAAGTCGACAGTTTCAAGAAACAGTCCCCTAGTCAGGTTTCCCGCACACTCGTTTTCGTGTCCCGCTGCACTTAACCTGTTTCGTCACAAACAATAGCTTTTTACCTTTCGTTTTTCCTTGCTTTTTGCTTCTGCGATCTTTTTTCACTGGTCTGGCGTTTATTTCTTTCATTCTTGCTCTGTATTCCGCAACCATCTCTTTGGAAACCGGAAGCTGCCTCTGGTAATGTTTCGCTTCGTCCTCCACGAACCACTCAGGAAGATTTGCATCATTGAATGCCCATCTAAAGACAAAATTAGTCATTGACAATTCGTAGAGAGGAGGGGGATCCGGAACTCCACCTCCCCCCCAACAGTTTCGCGGTTGTTTTTACTACTTGTCACTGAAATTCTTGCATCGACTGCCCTACGAGCAGACGTTTCTCTTTTTCACGGTTTTTAGCGTTTACGAAGTCGTTCGAGCGACAGACAAGCGTCGCTAACGACTTCGTAAACGGTAAAAGCCATGCAAGAGACAAACCTGTGCTCAAAGGGTATGCATCGATAAGATCCTTTATCACACGATTCAACAGGCTGACCTTTTAATTTATTAAAACACGCGGTACATTTTGGAACAATTAAATTTCAGGCATATTCAAACATGTAATTCTGGGAGGGTATCCTCTAATGGTCTGCTCGTATCAGCTCGCAAAGCAGTGGTATCTGACCGGCGTTAACAGAAACATTTGCTCGCCTCTCAAAACAGTCGATATGGCGACAACTTGACCTATAGCCTCGTTCTTTCAACCGATAAAAACTAGTCAAGCTGGGAGACCGTAGTATGGGGGTTGAATTAATTTGCCATAAACACCGGTAAAACAGTGTTTTCCGATTCAAAGATTGTACCCCTAACCCCCAATAAAAAATTCCTGGATCCGCCCCTGTAATTTGTGGTTTGTGACCGACGATAGAAAATTTAGAAGATTCAGGTTTCCAGTGTACTCTGTTATTAACTAAATCACCTGTGATAACCACTGTCGATGATATCCCTTTTGTTTTTTCGCGAAAAAGCCATCTTGTGTCCCAATGCCAAAGTTTCAGGAGTCAAGTTTTTTAAATATTTACCTGTTAAACGAAACAAAATAAGTAAATGATCGCCACTTATTTTAAAGACATTTCCAACTGAAATGATTACCGTAACATTTCGCCCCATGTTAGGGAATCTAAGACAGTCTTGGATTCTGGATTCCACGCTATGGATTCCAGATTCCAGGTACTGAATGCTAGTCTTTGTCAGTAGAACTTGGATTCTGGATTCCCATTGTTAGTGGAATTGTGGATTCCTTGAGCTGTCTTCTGGATTCCAATGTCCAGGATTTCGGATTCCATAAGAAAATGTTCTCCAATTCTGGATTCCACAGGCAAAAATTTCCCGGATTCCGGAATCCCAATTTCCTTACACAGGGTAAAACATTGTGGCACATTTACTCAAAAAAATATACTTACTGTTGTCCTCTATTGGAACGACCTCAAAATCCTTTTGTTTGGTGTTTTGAGTTTCTTTTTTCTTTTGTTTTGCTTTATTTAGCGAGATTTCATCTTCACTATCAACAGTGCTATCGCCTTCTTCGTCACTGCTCTCTTCATCATCTCTCCAGCGAACTTTTTTCGCATCTTTGGTTGTTTTATTGCTTCCTCCCCGCTTTGTTCCTCTTTGTTGATCAGCAGGAGTCGATTCCGATTTCCTTTCTGTGGCAAAACAATAAAAAAAAAAATAAACAAATGAATATGTTGGGTATTGAGGAGAGGTGAAAACCTTAGCACCTGCAGGACCCAGTTGTTTGAAGGACGATTAGCGCTAACCTGGGGTTAAATTTTAATCCGGGGTTCTTTTTCTTTTTGGAGCATCCAGTCACCAAAATGCAGACCAAAAGAATTAAACTGAATTTGCTTTTTAGCATTTATTTCTGAATTCAAAATTCGCACTAACCCTGGGTTATCTTAACCCAGCTTTGAACAACTTAGCCAGGAGGAAAACCTCTTGTAGCAAGTATGGGAGTCAACAACAAACTCAACCCATATATGGTGTTGAAACACAATAAAATTTTAAAAAGAAATAAAGCAATTGATATTTAAGCCCACATAAAGGATGACTTCTATCCAAGATTCCTTCTCTCCGGCTAGCGACACAAGCGAAACGCCGTTTTCCTTAAGTGAATTGGTAACTTTTTTCCTACCGGTACTTCGTTACAGAAGAAAAAAACGGTAGTAACCAACCTAGAATAGTTCCTCCTTTCTTTTTGTATTCTTCTACCATTTGAGAAATCTCCAGGTCTTCATCCGCTTCGTCTTCTAAACCTTTGAACACATCCTGAAAAATACCGTATTATATGATTAGCGCTAAAAAGATACTTCTTCGCGAGTTGGACCGCAAGGCACTCACACAATCCGTGATTTTAGTTGTAATAATCATAAAAATTAAGATACTGTAGAACAATAACTTACTTTTTCAAACCACATATTTGCTTTGGCTGTGAGCGGAACCTCAGGTTCCAGATCTACTAAGAGCGGATTCTTCTCCCTGTCGATGAAAAAGAACTGACGATCAAGTCAAGTTAAGGAGAGATCTTAATATACGGATACCCTCGTGATCCTTGTTCAGTGTTGTAATGGCTACCTGTAAAGAGTGTATGTATGTATGCACGTCAATCTGTCTGCCTTCTAACAACTGCAACTTCATAACTTATTACGTTTTGTTTCAATTTTTTTCTTCCAGCTTTTTGCACGGCCATTAAGCTATAAACACTGCCGAGTTTAAGGAAGATTATTTTTCATTTCTGTAACTAATGGTAAGGCGTTCTGATTTTTAAATTCGCAAAATGTCTCCACTTAGCAGGGGCTATATGTGACTTGGATCACATATAGCGCTTAAGTGGGTCAGATTAGAGCTATATTCTGGTCTACCCTGGAACTGCAAGGGCTTAAATACAGTGTATATATAAGTGATCAGATAATACAACCTTTGTTGGTTTTCACTGTTTGATTTTGTTGCAACTTCGTCAAATTTTAATTCTTCATCGTCCTCACTATCATCGTGGTTGCCCAGCTCTTCATCGCTATTGTCATCTTCTGAGCCAGACTGCATCTCCAATTCTTCGCTGCTTTCTTCTTTATCATCTTCCAAGTACAGTTCATCAGTTTTTGCCTCATCTACGTTCTCAAGATGCTAAGAGATTGCAAAATTTGGTATGTAAGGAAATTTTCTACCACTCGAATAACATAAGGTAAAAAAGCCCTTTAGTTTAGACAGTTGTGCCCATAACAATTGTTGTAAAACACGAGGAACATCGCTGCGCATTTTGTTTAACGCACATACATTGTTACTTTTGCAGTTAATACCTGTTTACTTTTGATGTTTGCAAGAGAAAACACTTCCATATCAGTCTCCACTTCTCTTGTATCTCCTGGCAAAATCATTTTAAGTCTCATTTTCTCCTGCAATTTTTGCCTTTGTTGCTGAACTTTCCTCTTTTGTCTGGAAACAAGGAATACAAACGATTACGATATAACAAAAAAAAAATCTGGACAAGGCATAGCATCCACAAGGTTAAATTTGCATCAGGGAAAGGGAACTTGATGTAAATTATCATCAAGATTTGTTCAAGAAATAGTGATTATTTGGAGAGCTATGTCAGATATCTCACACACCGACTTGTTAAAAAACACTTTTCAGTTTATAAATATTTATTGTTACCCAGGTTTATGTGACTGATAAATAACACACGGTTCTTTTGGTTCACCGCTGTGTTAATTTCTTTTGCAAATCAATACACTCCTCAGTGTTTGGATATCAGTTCAGACACTTCTCCTAACATTAAGGTGAACACAGATTTCTTGTCTTCTCTCTTCTGGTTATAATTTTCTTATTTTTACTTCTATCTTTTTCAAGGTTGTTCAACATATGCTCTTTAGAGACTGCTATACCCATTTCTATACAAAACAATGTGTCAGAATTACTACCCAGTCTCAGTGCACAAAATGTGAAACAAAAATTAATAAAATCTACACATGCTAGTACCTTTTAATAAGTGCGGCTTCTTCTTCTTTTAGCCCTTGAATGGTCTTCTCAAGACTTTCCTAAAAAGCAATGATAATTATTGTCAACATTCAAGGGAGACTGTTCAGGAATATGTTTGGAGCAATCTGGAGTCAAAGCCAAACTATAATGCATTTTATTTCCAGTGAAAGCCTAAACTGATTCCAGTTAGGTACTAATTCAATGAGCTTATTATAATAACTATAATTTGCATCACAAATACCACTGTGCAAAAGTTCTGCCAAAAAAGTGACACTAAAGGGTCAGCAACCAGTGTCCACAAATACAGAGATGTCCAGGAAGTAGGGGTAGCATGAAATTTGTTATCTTTGGGACCAATACAACAGTTGTTACTGTTTGTACTAAATAAAGATTTGTCCATATAGAAGTGGTCCAACATTAATTCATTACATCTAACCTCCTCAGTCTTTTTGAATTCTTCAGTGTCTTGGACCCTGTTGATAAAGGTTAAGAGGGAAACAATAAGCAGATAATTTCACAAAATAAACTAGATACACATAAAATCTAAGGAATTTTCTTTGCATTTTGTCTACAAACCTGTCAGCCTTAGAATCATCTCCAAAAAATTCTTTCTGCAAAGCTTTGTGCCAAGTTAAAAGATTCCTGTATATGATTAAACAAGGTACAGTGTAAATGTTATACCTCTGATCTCTCTATTTGTTACATTACATTAAAATAACCAAACAAGTTTCACAATGTTTCAAACTGAGAACAAAATGTTACCAGTACCTGCAAGATAATACAGTGTATTCATTACGTAGTCAATTAAGCAGCTAGAGATGTCACATTTTTTATGAAACAAAATAAATTACCTTTTATCCTTAAGCTCTCTTTGGACATTATATGTGTCAAAACTATTGAAATGCACAACAATTTTGTTAAACTCACTTTATATCTGATTTGCCTAGAACTTTTATGTCTTTGCAAGCTTCTTTGACCTCCACTGTTGTCAGATTGTGTTCTGTATACTTCTTGTCATCAAATATAATCTAAGGTCATGAAAATGAAGAAGCAAATTATCAAGACAAAAAAAATCTTACACCAGGTAAAAGACATAAGTAGGTGGAATATGATTGTCTGAGTGAGTGTAGTACTGAAAAGGACTGTTGTTGACTGTGACTGACATTTCGACTACCTGTGTGGTAGTCATCTTGAGAGCCAAAGTGATTTGTATCACATGAGTTGATGGTTAATAAATATTAAGGTCTGGTTATTGACATGATTGGCCTATTAAGTTGTGACATCATTGGCCATTTGTCAGTTAAGTCATGATGTTATTGACTAGAAATACAGTCAGCTAAAGGACACTTTCAACTAATGAGGAACAATTAAATCATATGTGGACACCTCCATCAAAGGAATACATCACCACTACCTGCACTATACAGGCAGAAACAGTAAAGGAATGGATACCTAGTGTAAGGGTACTGTAATCACTGTGTACACATAACTAAACAGACACCTCTAGAAAAGTACACTCATACCACCCCTACAATAATTATACATACACCTTCAATAAAGGGTACCACCACCACTACCATTACGTCCTTAGTGAGGGGAGTACCTCCACTGTACACTAACCAGGCACCTTTAGCAAGGGAACATGAGTGCCACAGTTTATCAAAAAGATTGTGTTTCTGCTCTGGACATTGTCAAGAAAATTTTGTTCCTTAGAATAAAATATATATAAAAATAGCAATAAAGAAATAAAATATTTACATACAATGAGGTGTACATGCAAACATACATGTTACTACAAGCAAAACTGCTTGCAAAACTAATATTATTGTAAACACATGCACAAAAAACATACCTCATTCACTGCACTCAGCACCTCTAAAGGATGCTGCGTTTGAAGAAACTCAGAAACTGTGGCTGATCTGAAGAGAGTGTAGTCACCTTCCTCATAACCCTCAGCACGTGCTTTTTTCTGTTTCTGAAAAATAATTTATAAATAAAAAAGAAATGAAACATTCACATCTAACAGTTCAAGTGAATGAATGTAAAATTAATTATACAGCTTTTTCCCCCTTTTTTGAAAAAAAAAATTTAATGGAAAATTCTAACAATTTTTTTTTTTAAAAAAAAGTTTCTTTTGTACAGCCTCATCATAGTTTAATTTGTGGACTCAGACAAAAATGCAGAAAGACCAAAATAATTCAGCCAAGAAATATTTTATATACTTACAGCTCAAAATACATGTACTATAAAATTGAAGTAGTTACAACTGAGATAGAATACCAACATGTACAAGTTATGTAACTAAAGGGATGGGCAATTTGGTACAACTGCATTAACTAAATAATGTACATTTACCTCTACTTGCAAAATGCTGATTTTCTTCTTTCCTTCAGGTTCAACGTCTTTGAAGATGTGTCTTGGATCCAACAACTTGGGATCAATCTTGGCTGGAGCTATATAACCCTTTTAAAAATCAAAGCAATATATTATAAGGGGGCTGACACCAACTTTACTGTGCCTTTCAAAAACACGCAAATTCTGAAGGTCAAAAGTCAACTAGCTGTTATCATTTTGTTTTCACAAATTTTGTTAAGGTACCATACCTGGCAAACAACAAAAATCTCCGCAGATTCTGATCTTGATGCTTGTGGCTTTGTAGAGTGGACTTTCTTGAACAGTTGCTGAAACACCCACAGCAGTGGCTGATAATCTTTAGACCGAAATACCTATTGACAGACCATACATGTACAGCTGAATGTTTTTTACTAGCAGTTATTTACACCTGAAAACCGAGATCTAGGAAGGGTAATACTTGCTATCAGTGACTATTACAGTACTGTACACATGGAATAACTTGATAGAAATATTAGGTTATACATTATTTTACATTAGCTCACCTTGGTAATAAACCATCCCCCTTCTTGCAAGAAATCACAAGCTAACTTGAGAGCACTGAGGGTCAGCTGAGCTGGGTAAAATTACACCAGAACACAAATTTGTTACCACACATATATAAAAATTTGTCAATTTATACGTTACAGCCTACAATGTACATACATGTACAACCATGTAGCCTCCCATACTAGACATTTACGTTCTTAGGGCTTCGTCACGTGTTCCTCATGTGGGGGATGAATGCTTGACAAAGCCCTGGGCAGGGGGGTACTCTGGATTTCAAGTGATGGGGATGATCCCTGGACCAAAGATTAACCACCAAAAAATCCCATACAGAATTTTTGAGCCTTAAAAATTCGAGATGAAATGTAATGTGTTAAATATTAAAACCACCACAACACAAGCTCGGTTGTACTTTATTCATTCTCATCTAATCCTGTGCCCTCCTCACCGTGTGTATCACCCATAGCTCAGTGGTGAGACTGTCCAATCAGTAACTGGAAGGTCATGGGTTTGATTCCTGCTAAGGGGTTGGGGGGGGCGGCAGATTATATATCAAACATCTACTTCAATTTTTTCTTGAAAAAAGGCTTTTTCATAAACATACCTTGGGTGAAAGCATCTTGTATCCATGCTGAGCCAACATTTGGGGCACCATCATTAAGCACACAGTCTGCTTTCCAAGTATGAAGCTCTTTATTTATCAGCTGGAAATGGAAAGAAACTTAATTAATTTCAAAGTATGTCTGTAAATAAGTTCAGAAATACTACTTGCTTGATATATACAACATCATCTTCCCCTTTAATTACTTCTGCATTACTTTACTGCCTCCAACAAAAATCTTTACTCTAACATTTTTCCAAGCGTAAAAAGAATGTTCAGGTTATTGTGTCTCTAGATCTAAAAAAGGGAAGTCTGAAGAAGAAGAACATTAATTTTTGCATTAAGATCGGCCAAACTGCCATGATGGATTTGTATGGTACCAGCAGCTTACAGTTACACAATTAAGTTAGATTTATGATATTATTATAATGCATTTTAATACCTGTCTACATCTATCTGTGGTAATATCCTCTTGAAGAGTGATGACATTATGGATAGGCTTAATCGAAACCAAGTCAACACCTTTAAATGAAGATAAAATCACATTTATAATTAGTTACAGAACAATAAATGCATAATGAATAAAGCATCCTTTTTGTTTGTTTTGTTTAATAGTTTATTTACTCCCGACAGGCACCAAAATACACTTTTTGGCCAGCATTTCACTACATACATGGAATGGATGATGTTTCTTTCAACTAACAAACCTCTAGCCTAGTATAATAAAAAATAACTTAACTTAATAACTTAATTCAATAACTTAAATTTTAAGTATATATATAGAAAAAGGTAGTATGACAATTAATTTCCTTGACCTTTGTACAGGCAACTCAAAAAAAGAAAAAGAGTTTTTCCAACAAAGGTCAAACCTATGACCTTAGTCCCTATAGTCTATTATGGGCTATTATGACCAGTTTTGTCCAAGAAGATATTTAACTTCATTTAATCCAGCTCCACCCAATAGCAATTAATATATCTGTAATGCAAACACTTGTTTCCATGTTGTTGAATTGACCACTTTTGATATATCAAAATTCATGCTTGGTTCGAGGCTTGGGGGAATAAAACAAAAGAAATGTTCATTGCTGAGTCTCAAGATGATTTCTTTTTTGTTTTATTCCCACAAGCCTCTCAGCCAAGTATGAATTTTAATATATTGGAATAATTGGTCTATTAGAGAGATTACTACAGTTCAGCTGCTTACCTACTATTACACTTGACACAGGCATAAATTTTGAAGCAACTTGGAGCCTTGAGGAAAAAGTGGAAGAAAATCGGTAAAAACATCATTTGATTTAACCAAAATTAATTATATTTAATAAGGCAATGAAAAGACGAAGTTTCAAGATATCTATTAGCCGACAGTATACAATAGGGAAAAAAATCAACAGTCATCTGATAGAAAATGATGGCAAGCCTTCTAATATTAGTGCATGTGTTCTACTTGTATTCTACTGCAATTTTTTAATTTGCAATAGTTTTTTTTTTCAAATATATTTTTAAAACAGCACTGTCTGGTGATTTTATACCAATAAACAAGGACTTTTCACTTCTCACCATCTGTGAGCTGATAGGTAGCCGTACCAAGATCATCAGGCCCTACATGCATGTAGTTGTTCAAAAGATGGATGGTACTATCCACCAGATAAATCACTATTCAGTGGATCAGTATTAGGGAAACTTATCCAGTGAATAGCCCTATCCAGCTTTAAACAACTGGCGCCAGCTGATCAGGTGGTACAGTTGGGTGGAGAAATGGTGGTCAAAATATACTAGACTTCGTACAAACTGTACCTTTTTCACTAAAGCTATTGTAGATATAGTGTTAATCAAATTCCCCTATGTATATTTAGAATATCGGGACGGCTAAAGAGTAAAATTTTGCCTTGAAGTTTTAAGCTTATTACCATCCTCCAGGTGCAGCACACAGGTCGATCAAACATCTTGAAGTCTGTAAGAAGTTAAATTTTCTATTCAACTGGATGAGCTTGAAAGCTGACCGAGAACGATAACCTGTATTGAAATCAACAAGAAAATGTGAGGAATTTGGCTCAAATTCGAAATACACTTAATACTAGTTTTGTGAGATAAGAGTGTGCAGTGAATTCAACTTCTGAACATATTTCCATTTCTGAACAAAAGCGAACTGATTTTAGATGTCTGTATTGGCAATAGAACCAAAAAGTGACATCTAGTACCTGTTTCTTTGGCAAGATGGTAAAATTTATCCTTTCTTTGCTTTCCAACCTTGGTTTTCTTTCCCATCGTTTACGGTGTTGTAACTTTCAATTCCACGATCCACGTGAGTTTGTTATACTTCATAGAGAAGACTGGCGGTTACTACTTCATGTAAGCCCTACGTATAATGTCCTGAGACATATGTATATAGTATTCCCAGATGATCTAGCGAAAGGTAAACGTTTTAGTTGGTGGTATAGTTCCTGTAGTTACTGTAGTTGTTGTGGATCCTGTGGTTATTGTAGTTGCAGTAGTTGTGTAGTTCCTGTAGTTGTGTAGTTCTTGTAGCTCCTGTAGTTCCTGTGGTTGTTGTAGTTGCTGTAGTTCATGTAGTGGTGTAGTTCTTGTAGTTCCTGTAGTTGCTGTAGTTGTTGTAGTTGCTGTAGTTCTTGTAGTTGTGTAGTTCTTGTAGTTCCTGTAGTTGCTGTAGTTGTTGTAGTTGCTGTAGTTGCTGTAGTTGTTGTAGTTATTGTAGTTCCTGTAGTTGTTGTAGTTGCTGTAGTTGTTGTAGTTATCGTAGTTCCTGTAGTTGTTGTAGTTGCTGTAGTTCCTGTAGTTCCTGTAGTTGCTGTAGTTCTTGTAGTTACTGTAGTTGCTGTAGTTCTTGTAGTTGTGTAGTTCTTGTAGTTCCTGTAGTTGCTGTAGTTGTTGTAGTTGCTGTAGTTTTTGTGGTTGTGTAGTTGCTGTAGTTGCTGTAGTTGTTGTAGTTGTTGTAGTTGCTGTAGTTGTGTAGTTCTTGTAGTTGTGTAGTTCTTGTAGTTCCTGTAGTTGCTGTAGTTGTTGTAGTTGCTGTAGTTCTTGTAGTTGCTGTAGTTCCTGTAGTTGCTGTAGTTCTTGTAGTTGTGTAGTTCTTGTAGTTGCTGTAGTTCCTGTAGTTGTTGTAGTTGCTGTAGTTCTTGTAGTTGCTGTAGTTCTTGTAGTTGTGTAGTTCTTGTAGTTGTGTAGTTCTTGTAGTTGTGTAGTTTTTGTAGTTTCTGTAGTTCCTGTAGTTGTTGTAGTTGCTGTAGTTGTTGTAGTTGCTGTAGTTCTTGTAGTTGCTGTAGTTCTTGTAGTTGTCTAGTTCTTGTAGTTGTGTAGTTTTTGTAGTTCTTGTAGTTGCTGTAGTTGTTGTAGTTGCTGTAGTTGGCGTAGTTGTTGTAGTTGCTGTAGTTATGTAGTTGCTGTAGTTCTTGTAGTTGTGTAGTTCTTGTAGTTCCTGTAGTTGCTGTAGTTCCTGTAGTTCCTGTAGTTCTTGTAGTTGTTGTAGTTGCTGTAGTTGCTGTAGTTGTTGTAGTTGCTGTAGGTGTGTAGTTGCTGTAGTTGTTGTAGTTGTTGTAGTTGTGTAGTTGCTGTAGTTGTTGTAGTTGCTGTAGTTGTGTAGTTATTGTAGTTCTTGTAGTTGCTGTAGTTGTTGTAGTTGCTGTAGTTGCCGTAGTTGTTGTAGTTGCTGTAGTTATGTAGTTGCTGTAGTTCTTGTAGTTGTGTAGTTTTTGTAGTTCCTGTAGTTGCTGTAGTTCCTGTAGTTCCTGTAGTTGTTGTAGTTGCTGTAGTTGCTGTAGTTGTTGTAGTTGCTGTAGTTGTGTAGTTGCTGTAGTTGCTGTAGTTGTTGTAGTTGTGTAGTTGCTGTAGTTGTTGTAGTTGCTGTAGTTGTGTAGTTATTGTAGTTCTTGCAGTTGGTGTAGTTGTGTAGTTGTTGTAGTTCTTGTAGTTACTGTAGTTGTTGTAGTTGCTGTAGTTGTGTAGTTCCTGTAGTTGTGTAGTTATTGTAGTTGTTGTAGTTGCTGTAGTTGCTGTAGTTGTTGTAGTTCCTGTAGTTGCTGTAGTTGTTGTAGTTGTTGTAGTTGTTGTAGTTGCTGTAGTTGTTGTAGTTGTGTAGTTCCTGTAGTTGTGTAGTTATTGTAGTTCTTGTAGTTACTGCAGTTGTTGTAGTTGCTGTAGTTGTTGTAGTTGCTGTAGTTGTGTAGTTCCTGTAGTTGTGTAGTTATTGTAGTTGTTGTAGTTGCTGTAGTTGTGTAGTTGCTGTAGTTGTGTAGTTATTGTAGTTGTTGTAGTTGCTGTAGTTTCTGTAGTTATTGTAGTTGCTGTAGTTTTGTAGTTCCTGTAGTTCCTGTAGTTGTGTAGTTATTGTAGTTCTTGTAGTTACTGTAGTTGTTGTAGTTACTGTAGTTGTGTAGTTCCTGTAGTTGTGTAGTTGTGTAGTTCCTGTAGTTGTTGTAGTTGTGTAGTTGTTGTAGTTGTTGTAGTTGTGTAGTTGCTGTAGTTGTGTAGTTCCTGTAGTTGTTGTAGTTGCTGTAGTTGCTGTAGTTCCTGTAGTTCCTGTAGTTGTGTAGTTATTGTAGTTCTTGTAGTTACTGTAGTTGTTGTAGTTACTGTAGTTGTGTAGTTCCTGTAGTTGTGTAGTTGTGTAGTTGTGTAGTTGCTGTAGTTGATGTAGTTGTTGTAGTTGTTGTAGTTGTGTAGTTGCTGTAGTTGCTGTAGTTGTTGTAGTTGCTGTAGTTGTGTAGTTCCTGTAGTTCCTGTAGTTGCTGTAGTTGTGTAGTTATTGTAGTTCTAGTAGTTGCTCTAGTTGCTGTACTTGTTGTAGATGCTGTAGTTGTGTAGTTGCTGTAGTTGTGTAGTTGTGTAGTCGCTGTAGTTGTTGTAATCGCTGTAGTGGGTGTAATGATTGTCAGTCGAGAGCTATGTAGGCTTGTTTATATATAGGGTAGAGAATCGTCCTGTTGGTGAACAAGGACGAGCGTTTCGCTCAGAATTCGTTAATCTCCCAAGTGTGAGCTTACACTTGCCGGAATGTAACTTGAGGGGCAACTGTTTCAGAAATCCACTAGGGTGTTCCAAAGTGTCTACCGTACAAGATTTGAAAGGAAGAACAGTAGGGATATAAGCTTAACAACGGAAATTCCCCTTTAAGGGTCATGGGGTTTCTTAGCTTATAGGTCTTAGTTTGTATTGCGTGATCAGTGCTTTTCAGTGATATTTTTGTTGAATCAACTCTTTTATTTGTACAGTTTTTGTATATGTAGCTTAAATTTACATAGTTCTAATTAAATCTACGTGGTAGCTACTTAATATTAGGCTGCGACAATCACGACGTTAACGACAAAAGCAACGTCAAAAAGCAATTGTTTTTATCAGGAAACCTTACGGCTCTGCACATGCATCTCGCTTGCCGGCATTTCTTTGACGTCGACATTGCACGACTACGGCGTGAAACCGTCTAAGGCGACGGTTTATGGAGTGCTTGGTCATACGACGACTCGGTTTTTGAACATGGATAAATTCCTTAGGAATTCAACTCCAAGAAACGTCGCCTACATTTGAAAAATTGAGGGGGGTCCAACTGAAAACAGGTGTGTTCAAAGTTTGCAACGACGACTTTTGCTCACGTTTGAATCTCTGCCTTGACGTCGTCGTCTTTACTCCCTAATATATTTATTTTGGTCGATTAAAGTGGGTTAAGAAGAGGTGATTTATTTTAAGAGGTACCAAAGAAAGAACTAAAAACATACAGTTTACAATATTTCCGTTCGAACAACAACATTTATTCAATCAAACTTTACTAGCGTTTACAATGCTTATTTTCCTGTACAATTTGAAAGCGTCAGATTCTCTCTCTTGGAAATAGTATTGCCATAAAATGCTAAATATCATTTATACAGTAACTTTTAGGCTTTCTTCTTCCTCTATCCGCCGATTCCATGTTATTCACACTTGTATTGAAATGTAAAAAAAAAAAAAAAAACGCCCCGGCGAGGTGAGTCATTTTATTATCCGTTTTTACTTCTTAGACGCAGTGATCATGCCAGTGTCACCAAATACGAACCTAAAGTGTAGATATAAAGGTAATTAGTCAGTATAACATTCATGATACTGTTTTTAACGCAAAATATTATGGGCAGCTGCAGACCGAAAATGTGTCATCTGAAACTCATTGTTAGCTATTCTGACGGATGTAGACGTAATTTCCAGGATACGGCCGGGCGTTACGTAACCCAATTTTCCTTAGAAGATTCTAGGGAACATTTCCTCTTTTCAGGGATCTTGTTGTTCAAATATCGCAATATCTTGGTACTATGCAGGAAAGACAATCCTCGAAAATCGCAGTTAAATTGTTAGACGAATCTAAAATTTTTTATTAGCCTTTTCTGAAGCTAAAACTTATGATAGGGACGGTATTATCCTTCCATACGTTATTTGCAGAAAACCGTCATCGGTTAATTATAAACGCTTTGAACCGTCACCGAACCCAGGGAGGAGGGACTCCTACATACGAACGCTAAGTGGATCATTAGTCACTGGTGTTACCTTCTAAGATCTGTAAAACAGTTGATTAGTCCCAACTATCGACGTCAGTGAAATAATGTCCCGGTTGCTTTTTCTTGGCTGGTGAGAAACAATCATAACAGTTACGGTGCATTATTATATACTTTACCTCTTGCGTATGCTACATCAGTAACTTGAGAACCTCAGTACCACGTGAAAATCAAGGAGAAGCTGATTCTTTTAAAGGCCAGTAAGCGTTTACAACATTCCTGTTAACCACTTTGCCATATTTTTTTTTTACACACTCAGGTGAATTAAGGCATGGGTCCTTGTTACATGCGGGGTTCTGTGATTTGATCTTCTTTTTTCCAGTATCTTTCTTCGTTTTAACCTAAGACCGCTGTGTTTAAGACCGAAACGACTTTGTACCTTAAACTCTACCAGCCACGCCCACAATTATGCAAAATTTGGGCTTTGCAGATTACACAACTTTAATGAATGTGATCACAATCGTTTTTCCTTCCATAATATTAAATCTACAGTGAAATAAGCTACATTAATCGGGTATTTGTGAAATGATGCATTCCTTCGTAATTATTAGATTTTTTCTCGCCCCAGTCTCCCTCTTAAGAATAAACGTTATAGTTCACAAAACGTAAATAATTTAAGAAAACCCCGATTAATTCCACAAACTTTATGTCAATAGTCATAAATTACAAGTGTTATTTATAATGTGGTGTAAATTTGGATTGAAATAAAAAGTCAAAAATGGAAGTGGCAAGTCACGTGACAAAGATAATACATATCAAATTTAAAATATTTATGCGAAAGGTAAAATCCCTAGTAAAAAAGACCACCCCCTCCAAATTTGAAATGCACCATTTCTTAATTTACCGCAGCATTTTCAAATTTCAAAATTATTTTCGTACTGATCTCATTACCTGGGCCGCTATCGTCGTTACTCTTTTTTCTCTTGCCTTTAAGGTTACGCTTTTTCCTTTTTGGTTTTTCATGGTGGAAGGCTAAATGAAAGACAACTTTTTCCCATATTAGGTTAACTTAAGCTGTATAATCTTGTAGAGAGTAAGAGTATTTACACCATTTAAGCCCAGGACAAACGTCAAAACTTTCGTGAGACGCACCAAACTCTAATCAGTTGGGTCGACCGAACTTAAGTTAAGATTAGGGAGTTTACGCAACGACGACGGCGACGGCTACGAAAACGTCACTTAAAAAGTGAATTTGCGCTGCCTCAAACTTTATCGCGCTCATTCCTTGTTTATGATTTGAGAGGTATTGTACTAATGGTACAGCGGATATATCTATGCCGACACAAAGAAAAGCCACACAGATATTTGTCGGGTAGTGAGACGATTCTAAGAAGTATCCCAAGTCTTTATAGCCATGCCTGTTTCCCAATACTAATGCTATAACGATCTGCGTGCAGTAAAAACCTCGTTGATCATTTAGAGACACAGATCTTACAAGGTGTGAGCTTTCTGAAAACTTGTGAGGGATTGGCTGCAATAAACTTTAAGGAATTTTCACACCGACTTAGACGATATACGTTATCAGCGAAGTCAAATGTTACAGATACTGGCAAATTGTACGAGAAATTTTACGCCGATCCCATGTTTTCCTTTCCTAGCAATGTTTTGTTGATGCATATTTTTCTTGCGGATTTTCAAGAAAAAGAACCGTACTATGAAGTGGAAATGAAGAAACGTGCATTACACAGCAGGGTCATTTCATGTGATCATACGTTTAAAATAAGTAAATACATTGGAGCAAGAAGAAGTAGCGATGATAAATTTGTGAAACAATTTGAAAATCTTTTTATAGTGCTAAACGAGAGGCACGAAGTTTTCAGTTGGCGTCTAACGAGAACCACAGGCTTTGAAGAAATAAGGTCGTTACTCGTTGAGCTTAAGGAGCAGATAGGTAATGCTTTGGATACAGTAATAGTGGACGACTGTTGCAAAGTAAGAACACTCTACAGGTCAGTTTTTCCAGATGTAGAAGTAAAACTAGACTTATTCCATGCAATTCAACGAGTCATCAAAAAGATACCAAAGGGATCTGAGTTTTCCAAACGATTTTCAAAAGAATTGGGTCTGATATTTCGAGCAAATGGAGACTGCGACGAGGTCCGTCAGCTACCCACACCTGATTGGAAAGTGGTAACTGAAAATTTGTATTCTTTCCGTGAAAGGTGGAAATCGTTCTTGAACATGGAAGAAATGAAGAAAGCACGTTTGGAACTCGACCACTTAAGCGTGCATATAAAAAAAGGTTGTTTATCTGGCTTAAAACCGGGTGAAGGAACGGAATCGAATGAGAGTCTTCATAACACATTAAATAAATCATTATTATGCGGTGCTACTACCACGGGTCCCGAAATAGCAATTGCTATTATAACTTTATTATTCTATAGTATGAACTGCAGGAAAAGCGCGAAAAAACATAAGCAGAATTCAAGAGTAATTCCCTTCGTGCCACTCTTCTCGCAGTACACGTCAAGGAACGTAAATGATAAAAATCCCCACTTTAACACTAACAGTGGGGGGAAAGTCACGTTAGATGACGCTTGGAAGACACCATACGAAGGAAATAAAGTATACCCAGACGAAACTGTTGAAGAAGCTGTAGTAGTCATTGAAACTATCGAGGACACTCTTAACGAGTCCATCGCCAGTCTGCTTTTGAAAAACATGTCCAAGTTGCATTCGATTTTAAGTAAAGTCAACAGCGAATGTCGGGATCGTTGTTTTAATGCATTTGATATTCCAATAATGCAAGTGGGTAGTAAACAAGTCTTAGTCAATAGTTGCTATGCTGAAGATGACACAGAAATAAGACACAGAGAGAAACACTGCAGCGAAATCTAGACTGTTTTAGTCTCAAAAGGGATGAAGTCGTCGGTGACGGAGATTGTGCCTTTAGAACAATTATTTCTCAAGTGAGAAAGACAAACCAATGGAGTGACCCAAATTCAGCACTTTGTCAGCATATTTCGTACCTGGGACTTGGGAGAAGTGCCGACGAAGATGTAAATCAGCTCCGTCAACTTTTTGTCAATAATGTTCAGAGCAACGAACATTATCAAATGCTCACTGGCATTCCTTCTGACGAAATGAACACGGAGACTGAAAGATTTAGAGAACCTGGAACATTTTGCGGTGAAGTCGGGGATTTGATTATAAAAGTATGCTCTGACATACTTCAAGTGCCCATAATTGTTGTGACCAGTATCAATGGTTCCCCTTACGTGCCATTCATACCCGACGACGCACTGATCACCAATGCCATCTACATAGCATATACCGCATTTGGTCCAGGGCACTATGATGGCACCCTTCCTGCTGAAAAAGATACAGGTAACATGGCTAAGCCCGACAACAAGAGAGTTAGTGTGCTTGTTGCCCTGTGACGAGTGAAAATCTGCAAAGTTTTAAACTTTGATGCTCCCCCAGAGCCACAAATCTCAAAAAAATAAATAGTTTAATGGGAGGATCAATAATAAAAATAATATTATTCTAGGGGAAAAGTTGCTTTTAAATCTTAAATAAAAGTCCCATCAACATAAGGAGAATTAGTAACATTTCTGAGGGTTATCCTCAAAACGCAGAATAGTAAAATATATATCCTATTGGTATTTAATTTGGAGGATTTAAGACTTACAAATCCCTAAATTTAAGACCCGCGATTTGAAATCCTATCAATACGCCGTCTATCAAAAGTAAATTCCCTTGAGGGGGTTTCTTATTTTTCTATTCAAAAAACCCGCGAAAAATACCACAATTTATAAGAATATTTAACAATTAATCCTCGAGCCCGAATGGGCTCAGAGTCAATAGCCCATGAGGCCCGAAGGCCGAATGGGCTATTTACTCAGAGGCCATGAAGGCGAGAGGAATAATTGTTTTAGTAAAGTTCAACTAGTTGGTCAAAAAACCCGAGACCAAACAACTTTAGCGATAGATAGTTAAAGGTCGACTTTTTTGCCTCCAAAATCCGGCGCTTTTCGCTACTTTTGGGCTATAACATATAGCCTAGTAGTAGCTCAACCAATGAGAATGTACCATTGATAACAGACCACTAGCTGTCTTTTACTAATATCGTACATACTGTCTCGCCAAAATCGAGAAGTTTAGTATCTGCAAAATTAACTAAAAGTTAGATACTGAGTCATTTCTTAATGCTGAAGAGCTGAACGATCAACGGATTTTTATTTTCATCTCCTTTCAATATATTTTTTCACAGCGTCGACACTAACAGAGACAAAGAGACTTGTGTGTTCGTGTGGCAAGAATAATAAAGAAGATCAGGACTCTTGTATTCCGACCGTGGATGGGAAGACGCGCTGTCCCTGTGTTGAGAAACGTATTTCCTGTACACGAGATTGTAGATGCAAGGGATGCAGAAACAAAGAAAGCCAGGAACTTTGCAAAGTAACCTCTAACAGCGTATCCTGCAGGTGTGGAGTCGATAAAAGCAGAGAAAATCGGGAATACGTGGCTTGTGTAGATGGGAAAAGAAAAACCAAATGTCCATGTGTACGCGCAAGAGCATGTTGTGGGCTGAAAAGCTCATGCAGGAACTGTGGGAATTGTGACAACAAACCGGATAAAGTTACCGATTTAGTGAAAATCCCAGCAAAGAGAAAGCGTGAAAGTCCTGTACCATTCAAGAAGAGGCGGAGTGCGGAGTATCTCGCATCTAATAGTACAAACCCGTCAGCCGGACCATGGACTAGTCATGAAACATGCCTTCTCTTTAGTACCATGCAGCTAATTGAGGCAACGGTAGTTGACAGTACACTGGGAGGCATAATGTCCCTCTATAACTATGTTGCCAACTCCCATCTCACTAAAAAAGGAAATTTTCCTATCAGATCAAAAAATCAAATGCAACTTTTAAGAAAAGTAACACAACTAAAGAAAAGGCAGACTGTCATTAGTGCTCTGGGGAAGCAGTAAAAACTATAAAGTTGCATAACACAAATATTTTCGTTCGTTAATCTCAGGGGACTTGTACCTAAATATAGTGTCCTTTATGCAATGTTATGTATATAGTATGTAGAATGCATCTATTAAACTTTTCTTACCGAACCTGTGCTGTGCTGTGCTTTTTTAAAACTCATCTGTGTCTCTTAATCAAATTTATACACCGGGACACCGGGCCAATATAAAAAATGCTACACTTAAAAAACAAGTTCCTTTCAACCGAGGTAATAGGTTAAAAAAACAAAGAATATAAATACGCCCAACATATCGTCCATAAACGTGAAAGCAGCCTGTTGAGTTGGAAAAACAAGATTATTCGGAGTCCAGAAGGGCGTTGATTAATTCGGGTTAATTGAAGGGGGAAATAATAGAAATAAACACTACCCGACGGCTAAGCGGCTGCACGGCTTTGACAAAGGCACAGCTACTAATTGCGCAACTACGGGGACACAGCTAAACCTTAACTGGCAGCCTAAATGACACTAGCTTCTGGCTTGTTGCGACTGCAGGGCACGATAGCTGCACCGACTGCGGCAAATGACCTTCTAAGGGAACTACCGGTAGCTTTACACCTGACTACAGCAACTTCAAACTAGCTACAACAACTTCACAATAACTACTGGCTACAGCAACTACGCAGCAACTACCGATTGCAATACAGTGACACCAATAAAACTACACAACTACGAGACTTCAAACCAAATAACTTCAAATAACTTCGCAATAACTTCGCAACTAACTGCGAAGCTAGCTACAATAACTTCAGCAGGGGACTACAACGCTGCCAGAAACTGCAGTAACTGCAAGCAGCTTCTACAGCAACTACGGAACTGCAAGCGCAATAAACTTCCACTAAACTTCACGGGGACTACTGGCTACAAAGGACACAGCAACTACAATAACTAATAAAGCGCAATGACTACACAGCGAAGCTTCACAACTGGCTTCCGGAAACTATAAATGGCTTCCACAATAGCTGGCTACAGGAACTGCAACCACTTCTGGCAGCTGCAATGGCTTCACAGGACTACCCAACTGGCTATAATGCTTCTGGTAGCTACCTTGGCTGCAAGCCAGGCAGCTACAGAGCCATAGTGACTACAATGACTTCACCGCCAGCTGGAGGACTACCCAAGCAAGCTTCTGGCAGCTACAGCCTTTGGGACAATGAGGCTGCAGTGGCTTCTGGCAACTACGGGAACTACAACAGCTTCCACAATAACACTACACAACTACAGGGAACTACAAGCAACTACAATAACTACAATGGCAATGCGTAATG